CCAAGAGCTAGAACAATTCCAAGACTGAACGACAATATCCCTCACTTCTGAGAAAAGCAGGTACATTTTAATCATTTTGAAGTTCTGCAAAAGGAAAGGCCACTTTACTACTGGTATTTACAAGTATATTTTTCATAAAATTAATGGTATTGGATAAGTAGGGAAGATTTCTGGAAATGAATTCCTGGTAATTATTACTAAAAAAGTTTTCTGTAAAAAGGGATTCTCTAGGCACCCTAGGAATGTTTCCCTCCCAAAAAGATTGGATTCTCTACTAGTATGCAACAAGGCAGTGTTGTTTCATAGTCTTTAGACAGGAAAAAACAGAACTAGACTCATTTCTGACATTAGAGAATTATACCACATGTAATGGAAGCACTGTGATAAAAAGTCATCCACCCAGAAGTTTGGAGGAATATATTGCGAGACCTGGAACTATAAGCCAAAGTTACAGATAACCACAGTGCTTATGGACTCCCAGTAAAACTGTCAATGAGAAGATTCCACTGCTCTGTAGTTTCCACGGTCTCCTCTCAGCAGTAGTAATGGTAACAGCAATGACAGCAGTAACAGTGGGAACAGCAGCAGGAAGAGTGCTGACATTAGTGATAGTTGTGTAAGCAGCAGCATGTCATTGCCTACTTTTTGACAGGCCAGTGGCAAATTTATCTATCTGCCTGTCTCTGCCTGCCTGCCTGCCTAGATAGATAGATAGACAGATAGATAGATGGATAGATAATTCATGATCCTTATTATTACATGCCTTCCACTGATAAGGAAGTTGAGACTTGACAAGTTTAGGTAATTTACTTGAGGCTACCCAGCTGGTTAGATACAAAACCAGGATTTAAATCCAGTTTATTTAAACCTTATTTCAAGGCTGAACTCCTTTCTCACTACCACACATCACAGCAGTGTGGATAAATAGATATTTTTCAGTGTGGAGGGTTAAAAATAGTAGAAGAGATGCACAGTAGCTTGTTGAGGACAGCAAGCTTTTTTAATCGTTTTAAACCCCTGTTATTTCCCACCTGAGTTAACACAATAGTGATCCTAGCTGATTTCCTTGATTCTGCCCTTGATCCCCTGAAGCTTATTTTCAAGATAGCAGCTAGATTGGTTCTGTTAGGACTCTATTTAAGGAGTTTTGTTTTTCGTTGAGGTGTAACACACTCCTCTGATCAAAATCCACCAATGGTTTCCTATCCCAGGATAAAGGCCAAATCCTTGCAATTAGCTTTAAGGTCCTATACCACATGGGTCGATATCACACCTCAGGCCACATACTGTACTACTCTCTCCTGCAGTCCACCCCCACCAGCCCCCCACCCCCGACACTCTACTGTAGTGCCATCAGTCTTGTTGCTCTTCCTCGAGTCAGGCATGATTCTCCTTTAAAACTCCTTTTTTCTCCCTTCATCATTATGTTAGTTGTAGACTGTTATTAGGTTAGGTTAAGGAGTTTGACTTCATATTCCTAGTTTTGGTACAAGATTCACATATCATAAAATTAACCATCTTAAAGTGAACAATTCAGTGGCGTTTTGTACATTCACAATGTTGTGTAACCACCATCTCTATCTAGTTCCTAAACATTCTCATCACTGGAAAAAGAAAAAAAAAAAACTGTACCCATTAAGAAGTCACTCCCCATCCGCCCTCCCCTCAGCCCCTAGCAATCACCAATCTACTTTCTGTCTCTATGGATTTGCCTATTCTAGATACATATAAATGAAAGTATACAATGTGACCTTTTCTTATTTTTTCATTTAGCATCATATTTTTGAGGCCCATCCACATTGTAGCATGTATCACTACTTCATTACTTTTTATGGCCAAATAATATTCTATTGTATGGATATACTACAATTTATTTCTCTCTTCATCTGCTAATGACATTTGGGCTGTTTCTACCTTTGGGCTATTGTGAGTAGTACCATTATGAACATATATGTACAAGTACCTGAGTCCCTGCTCTCAATTCTTTTGGATCCATACTTAGAAATGGAATTGCCAGGCTATGTGGTAATTCTATGTTTAACTTTCTGAGGAATTGCCAAATTGTTTCCCAAGGTGGCTGAACCATTATACATCCCCATCAGCAATGTATGGTGATTCCAATCGCCCCTTCAGGGCTTTTGCATTTGCTATTCTCCCCTGAAGGCTTTTCTGATAGATACCTAAGTAGCTCACTTCTTCACCTCCTTCAGATATTTACTCAATTGTCATCTAATGGAGGTGACCCTGACCATCAAATTTAAAATGGCAGCCTCCCAACCCCTACTCACCATACTCTTTCCTTAATTTTTCTCCATGGTATTGATCATCATATAACATACTATATAATTTTCTATTTTCTATTCTTTGTCTTCCACCACTGAAATGTAGGCTCAATGAGGGCAGAGATTTCAATCTGTTTTTCCACTACATAGAACAGTGTCATGTACATAGTAAGTGCTCACGTAATATTTGCTGAAGTGTTTTGGCAAAGTGTGACAATACAAGAGCAAGAAACTAAGTCTCTGTACTTTAGAGATTATTTTTCTAATATGGTAATGGATTGAAACTGAGTCAATCCCACCTTTTATTCAGCTGTTACCAAAAAGCACACATGCACGAGATGGCTTTTTCTGAATCAGGTGAAAACATTACTATTAGAATATGCTGAAGGTAAAGGGCTCAGACTGTCAAACCAAAACTCTCAGCACCAATTAAAACCCAACTGACTATAATAAGTAAGCTTAGTACTGATTGTCTAAAATGTTTTATTTAAACAAGTAAAAATTATGCTACAGGACACAGAACTTTAAGTGTATTATACTTTAAGAAAATGAATACATCCCATGAGAAATATGATCATATGGAAGAACACAAATCTGTACCCCTATCTAAAACATTGCTATAGCAAGAATGTAACTTATAATTTTGAACTGTAACAGAAGCAGATAAAATATTCACATAAAAAGAGAACTTATGTCAAAATCACAAAGAAGTTATTTCTGGGCAAAAGCTTAAAAATTGATGTAATTAATACTGCTGAATTGTTCACTTGAAAATGGTTTAAATGGCAAACTTCATGTTATATATTTTTATTACAACTTTTGAAAAGTAAAAAAAAAAAGGGGGGTAGAAAAATGGTGGATGAAAAAACATCCTAGAGACAGATATGGAAATAAACAGTTGAGTATCATCAAACCCATTACTAAGAAAGAAGCCACTTTTGAAGATTTTGGAAAATCATTTATAGCAGAAGTCAGTCTGGAAAATTAAAACTAAATAGATTCAACTCTTTTGACCGTTAATTTCAAAGATTAGACTATATAAGAAATGGTCATTAAAACTGGTTTTCAATATGTTTGTTATAGGCTGAATATTTGTGCCCCCCCCCCCACCAATTCAAACACTGAAATCTAACACCCAATGTAATGGTGTTTGGAGATGGGGCCTTTGGGAGGTGATTAGATTATGAGGGTGGAGCCCCCAGGAATGGGATTGTAAAACAGACCCCAGAGAACTCTCTTAACCCTTCTACTGTGTGAGGACACAGTAAGAAGATGACCATCTATGAACCAGAAAGTAGGTTCTCACTAGACACTGAATCTACCATACCGGGATCAGAGACTTCCCAACCTCCAGAACTGAGAGAAATAAATGTCTATTATATGTAAGCTACTCGTCTATGATATTCTGTATAGCAGCCCAAACAGACTAAGACAGTTTCATAGTTCAAGGGTTCTGACGTTAAGAGAAAAACCACTCATGACTGAATCAAACTTCAGAGCCTACCCACCTTCATGGTTCTTAAGATCACAAAGGAACTCTTGTCAGTGTTTAAAGTTCAAGAAATTAGTAAACTATAAACAGCGGGCTTTTAACTGTGCTGGATGGAAAAGAGTAACATGTACTCAGTAGATAGAGCTCTCCGTCTGTAGGCTAAATAATCAGGCTTCCATGTAAGAAGCAAAACAATGTTCCTAATGGTATGATGAAATCTACAGCTTTTATGTAATGGTATTTGTTAGAAAATAATTCCTGAGGCATTTTAACAATACAAATTTTATTAAAAAAATAGGTAATAACATCAAAACTGTTCACCAAATCTATAGTCAATGTAACCAAAATACACACCAAATTAAAAAATATATACATCTATGTATATATGTGTGTGTATATATATATATACACACACACACACATATGCAAGAAACAAGTGCATTTTTGGTCCCAATAGTTTTGAATATATTATCTTTATCCAAAGGAATTACATTAATGGCTAAGAAGATATTATGCATTACATGTACAGAAATGTAACTTTAAAATTTGTTTTAAGGTCTACAGAAAGGGTTTTTTGCCAATTCCTTATGTCTTTGAACTCACAATCACTAAAATAATGTTAATAATAGTTCTAAGATTGACAGAGGGTGTAATAATGTCTAATGTGTGAAAAATAACCAAATTAAGAAGATACCAATAGGTAGCTACATCAAATCTGTAGAGAAGTCTAAGGAATTTCTTGGTGTTCTTAACAAAACAAAATGAACGCAAAAGTTGTAAAGAAAAGAAATAAAAGGTGGACAGAACAGAACAGACCTCAATAAATTTGTTGAAGAACAACATAAAACCAAGATAAAATTAAGTTAAATTAAAAAAATTAAAGCCCTGGCTGGTGTGACTCAGTGGATGGAGCTTTGGCCTATGAACCAAAAGGTTCATAGAAGCAACCACACACTGATGTTTCTTTCCCTCTCTTTTCTCCTTTCCTTCCCCGAGTTCTAAAATTAATTAATTAATTAATTAAAAAATAAATTACAGTTCCAAATTTACAGTTATTAGTACTGCCATTTTAAGTTTTATCCAGTATTAACCCTAGGGGTTTTTGGCAATACTAATATTTTTCAAATTTTTAAAAAGGTTTTATTTATATTTTAAGAGAGAGGGGAGGGAGGGGGAAAGAGAAGGAGAGAAACATGGATGTGTGAGAGAAACATTGACTGGTGCCTCTTTTATACCCCCTACTGGGCACCTGGCCAGGAATCGAACCGGCGACCTTTTGGTTCTCAGGCCAGTGCTCAATCCACTGAGCCACACCAGCCAGGGCTGGAACTGTAATTTTGGAAATTTGTTTTCCAAGGGCACAATTTTACAATCTACACAGGCAGATTTTATAGTCCTTGAACTGCATACATGACAGAAGAAGATTAAAGGGCAGCAGCCTAAATGATTAAACTTCAACTTGGGTGTTAAAAGCATTGATTTGATGGGCTTTTCTTGGTCAGAACTGAACTATAAGCTTAAGGTAAAAAACCAAAGCCCCCAGTGAGAAGTTGTGTTCAATTTGGTGGTCATCTCTGGCCAAATTAGCATGATCCACCATGAAGGAACGGACTCTTCCCAAGATATGATTTCCTAGGGCCACAACCTAGAGGAGGTCTCACAGTTAAACAATTCATATTTCTTGGAAAGAGAGAACAGGCATCAGTTGTGTCCAACGAAGGGGGACACTGACCAGGAGTACCCTGGACATTTTTGAAATTTCTGTGTTGCTTCTCCATCTGAAAAATATGAAAAACAGAACAATGACAGACAAAGAACAAGAAGAAAGACAGCTACCTGGCCTAAAAATGTAAGATTTGTATGAAATTAACTATGAAATCAGACAGACAAAAAAAAAAAAGATGAACAGCCACAGCATTTGAAATGCAATATTCTGAAGGCAAGTACAGCAGAGAAATACACAAATTATTTTAAGCAAAGCGATAAAGACCATAACAAACAAAAGTTATTTTTGGAGAGAGCCAACTGGAGGAAAAAAGCATATGTTAAGATATGTTAACCTGACACAAAGATAAGGTGGAATAAGAATCTAGTGCCATCTGAAAGCTGAAAAGAGCTGAATGAGAGCTAGTGTCATGGACTTGGCTATTTAACCGTTTTTGTGTGAGCAAACACTTCAGAACTTTGAACTTAGGAAACTGGTTCTGTGTAAAAAAAACACTTCAGAACTTTGAACTTAGGAAATTCCAACTTGTCTTGCACCAGGTTGCACGAGCTCCATAGAGCAGGAATCTATTTCAACAAGCAGCTTTAAAAACAAAAACAGAAACAAAATACTTTAATATTTTTCATTTCTATTAATGATACATTAAAAATATGCAAGTGTTAAAAATCCATCAAAGAAAAATACAGCAAATGAAAATTCAACTTACTCAGAAGCAGGTTCAGAAGTTGAGGTACTTTTGGGAACTGAAATTAGAAGCATTTAACACTTAAAATAGCACACGTGATGAGTGAGACTATCAACTTAATAAAATTAAGGCCTCATATTGTGGTTGATCCAAAATAAAGGAATAAATATCAGAAATCCAAAACAATGCAATTATATATACATACCATTCTCTGTTACAACTTGGCAAGTATGATTTTTACGTTGACTTAAGTGTTTAGCCATACGATCTAAACTAGAAGAATCAGCCAGGAAATCACATTTAAGGCACACAAGAGTAATGCCCCTATGGAAAAAAGAAGAGAAAAAGAAAAGTGTTTTTATCTTTCATAAAAATCTATACACAGGTTCAATAATTGTTTTTCCATGTAATAACTTTTTTCCATTTTTATTTATTTTTAGAGAGGGAAAGGGAGGGAGAAAGAGAGGGAGGGAGATATCGATGTATAAGAGAAACATCGATTGTGTGCTTCTCACATGTCCCCAACTGGGGACCTGGCCTGCAACCCAAGCATGTGCCCCGACTGGGAATCAAACTGGTGACCTTTCAGTTCACAGGCTAGTGTTCAATCCACTGAACCACACCAGCCAGGGCAATAACTCCTACACCAGCCAGGGCTCCATATGTAATAACTCTCGATTTTCTTTTTATGCAACATGACCATTACTTTTCAATTTTGTTATATAAGCCTGATATATTTGAAACGGTGCTTTAGAAAATGGCATAGCCATGTCTAAGTTATGCTAACATTTAGTGCTTTATAAATTGTTCGCTCTCAGACCAGTTGCTAAAAGATAAGAGTCAGGAGACCTAAAGCCCAGTTGTGGATCTACTAATGACTTGTATAACTTGTGCAAGGCACAATATTTCTGTGCCTTTGCCCATCTGCAAAGCAAGAATACAACATTCATTCATGCAATATATATTTGTTGAGAACTCTTTTTTCAGCGATATTTTTATTGTCGTTCAAGTATAGTTGTCTCCATTTTCCTCACCACTCCCCGCAGCCCCACACATCCCCACCTTTCACCCTTGAACCTACCCCCCTTTGGCTGTGTCCACGTGTCCTTTATACCTGTTCCTTGATGGCCCTTCCCTTATTATCCCTCTCCCCACTCCCCTCTGGCTATTGTCAGTTTGTTCTTTATTTCAATGTCTCTGGTTATATTTGTTGAGGACTTTATGTACTTTGTAGAGCCTACAATATAAAATCTTAAGCGACAACAAAATCATAAAAAATGGGAATGCTTTAAAAGGAAATCATTAAACATAATGTAATTATTGTTATTATCAGCTTATGAACAAAGTGTAAATATACTTTCACAATTCATTTTAAATTTAAGTATTTGATGTATCTAGGAATAAAAAACATTGGTATACCTTAGACTGACTTCTCCCCTGCAGCTCTAGTCTTAATAGTTTGTTGTGTATTTATATCTGGCTGTCACGTTAGCGCATCAAGAAGGATCTTCATAAGAATGTGGCGTGGAGAAAATTAGGAAAAGCTGAACAACCCAAGGAAACTACATGTCTGACTTGTAGCTTTCCATGAGATCAGATAAGCTCTTAGGATTTTTCCTTTTTCTTTTTTTTTAATATTTTATTTTATTTATTTTTTAGAGAGGGAAGGGAGGGAGATAGAGAGAGAGAGAGAGAGAAACATCAATGTGCGGTTGCTGGGGGTTCTGGCCTGCAACCCAGTAATGTACCCTGGCTGGGAATCGAACCTGGGACACTTTGGTTCCCAGCCTGTGCTCAGTCCACTGAGCTACGCCAGCCAGGGCTGGATTTTTCCTTTTGCTAAGTCATTCCAAATATGAACATTAAGTAAGTGATCATTACTTGGAGAGGTGCTTCCTGGGTCTACTTGAAAATGATAGGTAGGCAGGGGCATTTTTGATGCCGGGGACCAGATAGTATTGCTGTGAACTCCCTGGCATTCTGTTCTGTAACCTGAATCCTGATGGGGGATAGGGTAGTCCAGTCCAAATGGAAAACCCACTAGTTTCTTAGTTTAATGGCTAAAGAAAAGGTTGGGTGCCCTCTAGTGTGAGTCCCCCTTATTTCATGACATCTCATTTAGATACACAGGACTGCCACAAGATGAAGAAAGACTCCTTGAGGAGCCTGGCCTTACATCAATCAGAGCCCCTACCTTAGTACTAACTTAACATTGCTGGGAGAAGACTGATGGTTGGATTAGAAAACAATGGAAATTTGGCAGAGGCCATGAGTGTGCTGGTCCAGAAGTGCAGAATGTGCTCGGGCTGTCAGACTTTGTATAAGATCTGGGAGGTAGCGTTTTAGATCAGTGGACATTCTAAAAGAGCACTTGATGTTATTTTCAAGGAAGACTAGAAATTTAAAGCCAAGTTCGTGAAGAGATGGGGAAGCACGATTCCAAGTCAATGGGATAAAAGCAGAGATTAGTCAAACACCACTTACAAAGCAAGAGGAGAGGGTGGAGCAAAGGAGATTCACCCAAAGGTCTGGTTGCTCTCTCAGTTGGATCTTATTGACCTACCCATGTTTTGGGAAGCTTTGGGAAACCATCTCTGAGGCGGTATTTAAAGGAAAGTTTTAGCCCTGGCTGGTGTGGCTCAGTAGATTGAGCACTGACCTGTGAACCAAAGGGTCACCCGTTTGATTCCCATTCTAGGGCACATGCCTGGGTGGTGGGCCAGATCCCCAGTTGGGGGTGTGTGAGAGGCAACCAATTAAAGGAAACATTTATGACACATAATTCACATGCTATCCATTTCGGTCATTTAAAGAGTACAATTTATTGAATTTTGGATTGTTCACAGAGCTGTGCAACCATCACAACAATCTAAGTTTAGAACATTCTCATTACCTGAAAAAGAAACTCCATATCCCATGTCCCACATAAGCATTCACTTGCCCCTACCTTTCCTAACCCCCAGCACCCCAGCCCAAGGCAATCACTGATCTACATTTTGTTTCTGTAGATTTGCCTATTCTGGACATTTCATATAAATGGAAATACACAGTATGTGACATTTTGTGACTGGTTTCTTTCATTAATAGGTTCAATGAAATTCTATTTTCTCTGTTTTGCATGTGTATGTATTTATTATTAAATTTAGACTATTTTCCCCACTAATAAAGTATGTATATACATGGAAGTGTCCTGATTAAGAAAGGCTATGGTTACTATGATCCAAATTTTAAAAATTCAAATAAAGTAGTGTCACAGGTTCGATTCCCAGTCAGGGCACATGCCTGGGTTGCAGGCCACGGCCCCCAGCAACCACACACTGATGTTTCTCTCTTCCCCTTCCTTCCCTCTCTAAAAAATAAATAAATAAAATCTTTAAAAAATTTCTATAAAAATTCAAATAAAGTATAGTACATAACATTAAAAAGTGATCTTCATACAACTCAAGTCATGTGCTTTCCTCCCCACCCCTGAAAGTCACCCCTCCCAAATGGTCTCTCTTATGATGTCATATCAACAACACTCCCTCAAAATTGTAGTTTTCTCTGACACCTTTTTATTTAAAATTGTCAATATTTCAAACATTTTATTTTATTTTTTAAAGATTTGATTTATTTACTTTTAGAGAGAAGGGAAGGGAGAGAAACATCAGTGTGTGGTTGCCTCTCATGTGGCCCCCACTGGGGACCCAGCCTGCAACCCAGGCATGTGCCCTGACTGGGAATCGAACTGGTGACCCTTTGGTTCACAGGCTTGCCCTCAATTCACTGAGCTACACCAGCCAGGACAAACATTTTATAGTATTAACAATTCATTGAGCACTTACTGTGTCAAGCTGAAGGTTTAACATATCATTTCATCTAAATCTTAGAGAAACCCAAAGAAATAGTTGCTATAATGATAATTTTTAAAAATAGAGGACAAGGCCAGGTTTGTTAACTTAGCAAAGCAAGGGCCAGGTTTGAAACTCAGCCCTTAGATTCCAGAGCCCATATTCTTAAACATGATGTAATACTACCTTGCCACCTTAACCCAGGTTATTAAATCCGTTTTAACCACAATAATAGTCTTAACTAGTCTATGTGCCCTACACAGCTACAACTGACTTTTTATACCCCTCCAAACTGACCTTTGTTCGGTACTCTTGGTTCTGCACAAAACACCAGTGGTTTCCCCAATGTCTTCAAATTAAAATGAAGCTCAAATTCCTTAGCCTTTTCCATGGCTTCCACAATCTGGATCTAAGCTAAAAACTATTCCCTCAGACTTTGATCTCAATACTATTTATATAAACTTCATGCTCTATCTAAATTGTACTATGACTTCTGCTTTTCTCCTTTCTGCATTTTTATTCATGCTGTCTTCTACCTAGAATGCCCTTGTGCCCCTTCATATAAGTAGAAACCTCTCTTTCCTTTGAAACCATTAACTCTCATGGCACTCATTATAAACCTCCTTGTATTACTGTAGTTATTTAGTGGATTCTGAGCTAAGTGTGTGATATAACCAAAGTTAATTATAAGTACTTTTAGAAATGTTTGACAATTCCTTCTGTACAGTAAACAAGTTGTGCATTTTCCTTTATTTCAAAAACAAAAAAACCTTACAAATTATGAGGCTATCTATTGATAAAAAAGTGTTAGTTACTTTACTAGGAATCTTAGATATCTTTTATATTCAAATATTGTTGGAGAGCCTGAATTTTTATTTTTTATTGCAAAGCTACGAAAGTTTCACCTTAATGACCAACACCACTGAAACACAGTTCAGTCAGAGACTATATTCCCTCTTTGATCCAAGGATATAATGAACAGAACTCTATATATCCAGGAGCAATCATTTCATTTTCCAAACGAGGCACTCTAGCATCAGGTTAAAAGAAGTTACTCTAGTCTGGACCGGTGTGGCTCAGTAGGTTGGACACTGTCCCACAAAGTAAAAGGTTGCCAACTTCAATTCCTGGTCAGGGCACATACTTAAGTTGTGGGTTTGATTCCCAGTTGGGGTGTGTATGAGAGGCAACCAATCATTTCTCTTTCACATCGATGTTTTTTTTTTAAGATGGATTTTTTTAAAAGTAAACATTTTATTGTATCTTTTCTTTTCTTTTTTTTAAGATTTTATTTATTTATTTTTTTTTAGAGAGGGAAGGCAGGGAGATAGATAGAGAGAGAGAGAGAGAGAGAGAAACATCAATGTGTGGTTGCTGGGGATTATGGCCTGCAACTCAGGCATGTACCCTGGCTGGGAATCGAACCTGGGACACTTTGGTTCCCAGCCCACGCTCATTCCACTGAGCTACGCCAGCCAGGGGTATTGTATCTTTTCTATTATTTTATTCTTGTTATACCCTCTTCCACTTCCACCCATCCCCTCCTTCCCCCACAATCATCATCATTGAAGTTTCTCTCCTTCTTTTTCTCCCTCCCTTCCCCTTTCTCTAAAACTAAATACAGCCCTGGCTAGTGTAGCTCAGTAGACTGAGGGCAAGCCTGCGAATCAAAGGGTCACTGTTCGATTCCCAGTCAGGGCACATGCCTGAGTTGTGGGTCAGGTCTCCAGTGTTGGACATGCTAGAGGCAACCACACATTGATGTTTCTCTCCCTCTCTTTCTCTCTCCCTTCCCCACTCTCTAAAAATAAATACATAAAATATTTAAAAAACAAAAATAAATAAATACAACTAAAAAAGTTAGGTACTATAATTTTTCAATAGAGAGAATGAAAAAAGATCAACTAGTTACCTGAGAGTTCTACAATGCTTCTTAAAAATAGAAAACTGTTTACTTGGATGGCTGCTATGAGAGCTGGAAAATTAAGAGACAAATGAGATTTTATTACATAATAACTTGTATTAATTTTATGATCATATTTCAAGTCTATGTACAGTTTATTAGTTTTGAATAAAAGACTCTGGTCTAAATTGTAAAATTCTATTAATCATCTGTTTACTTCAAAATTTTTATTTTATATCACTCTGTACCTGTGTATTTTTAACAATATACTGCCCTGAGAATATTCTTAAATGATCAGTACCACAATATTGTGTATAAAAAATCTCATAGTTAAAATACAAAGACCATCAAATGGAAATTTCCAACTATTAAGAGTTGAAAACAATGTAAAAGATATTTGCTAATAATGCATTTTGTTATAATATAAAGTTATGAATAATAATGATCACTTTCTAATCATATTGAGTACTTAGTGAGTAGGGACAATCTAAATGATCCTCAAAGTAACTGTTACCTGGGCTAAATGACATTACTTACCATTAGTAAAGCAAAACATTTAAATAATCTTTTGCAATTACTAGGAGAGCTTTTAAGGAAAGTGAATTAAGGGAAGCACAGCTCAGGAGTTAAAACAGTAATTCCTATACACATAGAACAGAAAACCACTAACCAAATTTTGTAGCCAATGATAATAGCTTTTATATTCCCTTTTAAATTGATAAGGAAAGCTTTCCTATATTAGAAAGCCAGGCAGGATTAGCTACGATTGGCATACCACAGTAGTATTAACCTAAAGTGTGGTCCATTGGACCAGCAGTGTCTGCATCACCTAGGAGCTTATGAGAAATACAAAGCCTTAGGTTCCACTCCATACCTACTGAATTTATCTCTGGCAGTAGGGCCCAGAAATCAGTTTTAACAAGTTTTCAGGTGGTTATTATGCATGAGGGAACATAGCTAAACATGATAAAGGCCATATATGACAAACCTACTGCCAGCATCATACTCAGTGGGCAAAAACTGTAAGCATTCCCCTTAAGATCAGGAACAAAACAGGGATGTCTGCTTTCATCTCTCTTATTCAATGTAGTACTGTAAGTCCTAGCCACAGCAATCAGGCAAAAAGAAGAAATAAAAGGCATCCAAATTGTAAAGGAAGAAATAAAAGTGTCTTTGCAGATGACATGATACTGTACACAGAAAACCCCAAAGATACCACCAAGAAACTATAAATGAATAAATGAATTCAGCAAATTAGCAGGATACAAAATTAATATTCAGAAATCAGTTGCATTTTTATATGCCAATAATGAACAGGATAAGAAAAGAGGAAAACAATCCCATTCACAATTGCTTCAAAAAGAATAAAATACCTAGGAATAAACCTAACCAAGGGTATAAAAGACCTGTACTCAGAAAACTATGACACTGAAGAAAGAAATTGAAGAAGATACAAATTAGTGGAAGCATATATACTGTGTTCATGGATAGGAAGAATTAACATCATTACGATGTCCATATTACCCAGAGCAATTAATAGATTCAACACAATTCTTATTAAAATTCAAATGATGTATTTCACAGAACCAGAACAAATAATTCAAAAATTTATATGGAACCACAAAAGGCTCCTCATAGCAACAGCAATCCTGAGAAAGAACAACAAAGTTGGGGGACTTATACTACCTAATATCAAACTATATACTGTAAGACCATACTAATCAAAACAGCCGGGCACTGGCAAAAACAAAACAAAACAAAAACAGAAACAAACAAACAAAAAAACAGATACAAAGATCAATGGAACAAGAGAGACAGCCCAGAAATAAATCCACATTTTATAGTCAATTAATATTTGACAGAGGAAGCAAGCACATACAATGGGCTAAAGACAGTTTATTCAATTAATTGTGTTGGGAAAATTGGACAGATACGTGCAGAAAAATGAAACTAGACCATCTTCTCACACTGCACATAATAAAAAATTCAAAATGGATGAAATACTGAAATATTAGACCTGAAACCATAAAAATCCTAGAAGAAAATATGCACAGCAAAATCTTGGACATTGCTCATAGCAATATTTTATCAAATATATCTCCCTAGGCAGAGAAAACAAAAGAAAAAGATAAACAAATGGGGCTTCATCACACTAATAAAAAGTTTTTGTACAGCAAGGGAAATGGTAAATAAAATAAAAAGGCAACCCACTGATTGGGAGAACACATTTGCTGATACATCTGATAAGGGGTTAATATCCAAAATGTACAAAACTTAATACCAAAAAAACCAAACAACCCAGTTAAAAAATGGGAAAAGGACCTGAATAGACACTTCTCCAAAGAGGACACACATATGGCCAATAGACACATGAAAAGATGCTCAATGTCACTAATTATCAGGGAAATGCAAATTAAAACCACAGTGAGATAGCATCTCACACCTGTTAGAATGGCTATCATCAATAAGTTCATAAACAAGTGTTGGCAAGGATGTAGAGAAAGGGAATCCTTTTGCACTGTTGGTGGGAATGCAGACTGGAGCAGCCACTGTGGAAGCAGTATGGAGGTATCTCAAAACATTAAAGATGGATCTGCATTTTGACCCAGCAACCCCACTTCTCAGTATATCCGAAGAAATCCAAAACACTAATTTGAAAGTACATCAGCACCCCTATGTTCATTGCAGTGTTATTTCAAATTGCCAAAAAATGGAAGCAGCCCAAGTGTCCATGAAGACATGAGTGGATAAAACAATTATGGGACATTTACACAATGGAATTCCACTGAGCCATAGAAAATAAGAAAATTTTACCCTTTGCTACAGTATGGAGAGACCTGGAGAACATTAGGCTCAGTGAAACAAGCCAGTCAGAGAAAGAGAAATATCATAAAATTTCATTCATATGTAGAATCTAATGAACAAGCTGAACTAATAAGCAAAACAGAGATAGACTCATAGATGGAGAACAGAGGACAGCTAATGAGGGGGAGGTTAAGGGGTGGAGAGAGTGAACGAAAAGGAAAAAGGACTCACAGACATGGACAGCAAGTGGTGATTGCTGGGGAGAGGGGATGTAAGGGGACTAAATGGTAATGTAAAAAAATTAGTAAAGATTACATTAAAAAACCAAAAATTGGATAAAAGATTGAAGGATAGCAAGGTTAAACATGACTAAGATATAAAGGATTACGGGACAAAAACAAAGCAACATTCAAACAGATGATTTTGAGGGTGAGGTTGACTATAACGATGGATTGGTGCCACTATTTAAAAAGATGGATTAAGATGGAAAGTTGTGGAGTAATGACAATTCAAAATAAATATTGTATATGATGAGTTAAAAGGGGAGGGTAGTAAAGAGAGGGGTAGAAAATGTCACAGGTGGATGTGAAGTGCTGGCTTAAAAATGTCAAGGTACCATGAGGTCAGGCTGATCATCAAGGAAGGAAAAACCTTGCAAGGCAAGTGCCAAAGCCATAAAAAAATGTGGGCAAATCCTAGGAAGTAGAAGCTAACTATGCCCAGAAAGTAACAAAGGTCTCATCATGATTTATGAGAAAATCACTTTTATAGGTTATATCTTATTTCTGAATAAAAATAAGTAGAACTACTTTAATTTGAATAATCAACTTAGCATAGTTATATAAAAAATTTTTGTCTATTAAAAAAAAATTCATCCTGAGGAAGAGCTACAAATGAGATCCAAATGAAAGTAATGTGGGCTCTGAAGGCTTTTTCTAGTATAAAGTATATGAGGTCTGTCCAAAAAGTATCCAGCCATGTAATATGAAAAATAAGAGACATTTATTGAAGGTATAAAATACAAGAAACATTGTACATAGGAAAATGACACCTCAGTCCCCTTCAAAGTAGGCTCCTTGGGACCTCACACAGTTCTCGCAATTGCCATCTACTTCCCCATAGTATTTTCCTGAATCTTATTAATGGTCTGAAATCTCTTCCCATTCAAAGGTGATTTTAGTTTTGGGAAAAGCCAGAAGTCTCAGGGCACCAAATCTAGGCTATAAGGGGGCAGAGTCACTTGGGTGATTTGATGTTTCACAAAAAAATCTCTGCATGAGACGTGATGTGTGAGGGGACGCATAGTTGTGATGAAGCTGCCAATCACCAGTTGCCCATAGCTTTGGCCTTCTGAATCATCTGAATAGTTTCCGCAGAGGAATGTTCAAACTTAATGCAAAATTTGATGTAGATCTGTTGGTCTACTTGCTTAGTCATTTTGAATGTGACAGCCACACAGTACACAAGCTCACTCAATGACGTCTATAGCCCCCTAGTACAGTGAGGTTGTCATTGTTTCATGCATGTGCATTCCAGTCCACTCTCTTTGGCTGCCAGGTTACACCAATGTCATGCAAACTGTTCCTGTTATATTAACAATGATTGGACTTTTTCTGGACAGACCTCATATGGTAAGTGCTAAAGTACGTAATTTAAATTGAGTGGATGTATGAAAAGAAATTCCAATAGTAGCATCACGAATATTCCTGTAGTCTCTCATGTCACATTTCACTGAATGAAAGAAAAGATGGATGACTTTAAAGGCGAATGGACAGAGGGATGGATGAGAGACAAGGGTATGAGGGAGAGGAAGGGGTAGATAGAAACAGAGAGCATGCATATGTAATCACCAATAATGGGTCTTACCATCTTTGACAAATCTGATGTCTCTCAAAGTGACTGCTCACTTGGGTTACATGTATTTATTGAATAAATATTTTTAAAACATTTAAAATTTTATGTTTGGAAATAACCACTTTTTGAAAAAGTTAGAAAAATAAATTTCCTTAATAAACTTATTTTAATTTCATTTGCCTAACCTCTTGAAACTTTTGTGCCATTAATTTCATGAGTCATTATGCTAGCAAACAGTATTGGGTAATATCTTAGAATCCCTATTGGTAGATCCCTTTAGCTCTTTGATGTGACAAACTGGCTTCTAATAGGATAAATTTGGTTTAAAACAAAAAACACAGATACCTTGAATGGCAGTTTTGATTGGCAATGTATAAGTTTAACTCACCTCGCCATATGATTTACAAAGGCTTTGTTACAGTTAGTGTTGTATTTGCAAAAATTACAGTGGATATATATTGAAAAGTGGCTTGCAAAATCTTTTATTTTGGAATGACACTCAATGCACTTGTGAACTCCTCGACAACACCTTATGGAGACAGAAAAAATGATAAAATTTATATTGTAAAATAAAAATAATAAGGTAAAGCTTTATTAACATTTTATTAACTGAAGCTAAGATATTTAAGCTAACATCTTTAAATAGAGATTTGTTAATTTGAAATTTTTCTATGAAATAAGCTAGGATAAATGTAAAAAATCTAACAGCAGTTAACTTTTCCCTGAAAAGAAAAGGATCATATTAACCAATTCAACTATCATAAGATATAAGCACAAAATATAAGGTTAGTGTAAAAGATGACAATTATACAAACAAACATAGTAATTCAAGTTCTGCCCAACAGTTGTAAAAAGTACCTTTTTACTTGCTTGATGTTTATGCCAGATAAAATCAACACATAAATGTGCAAGAGTTTTGTGATATGGTAAATCATATTAAAATAAACCTTTCATATTTAACATAAATTGAAATTGCAAATCAGGAATAAAATATATTACCTTAAATTCTTCAGAGCTATGCTGATTTTGTTCTTTCTGTTGCGTTGTTTCTTTTGCTTGTAAGAGGTTTTTGCTTTGCATTTAGATGCACCTCTACCTTGCTTACTTGCATTGGATGCTTTACTTGCAGTGGACGCAGTTGCACGAGGCTTACACATCCTAGCCTTAGTTGCATTAGATTTTGTGGAATTTTTAGCAGTGGTATTTTTAGACTTTGGAGGTGAGACCTGAAGAGAAGAAGTGCTTGGAGTATCACTGGAAGATGTAGTTGATGGTTTTGAATGAAGGTGTCCCAATGATGCTCGAATAGTAACCTATAAATATGATGGCAATGTATGTTTTATAAAATTAATCATCACCATAATATTAAAAAGATCACTGCAAGCACTCACAGTATGATCCATTTCTTTTTGACAAGGGTACCAAAACAATTCAGTGAGGGAAACAATAGTCACATTAACAAATGATGCTGGGACAAATGGATACCTACATGCAAATGAATGAGGATCCCAACTAGATACGAATATTAACTCAACAGGTATCAAAAAAACCAAACTGTAGGTGCTAAAACTATAAAACTTTTAGTAAAAGGTGAAAGATTTATATGATTTGTAGAGAAACCAGAGCATAAAAAAAACTATACAAGTTTTAGAAGCAAACCTAATAAATCTTTGTGACCTTGGGTTAGGCAATAGTTTCTTAAATGTTACACTGAAAGTATAATTAGCCAAAGAAAAAAATAGATAAATTGAACTTCATAAAAATTTAAAACTTGTGCTTCAAATGACACGATTAAGAAGAGAGTGAAAAGATAACCCACAGAATGAGAGAAAATATATGTAAAACATATACCTAATAAGGAACTTATATATAAAATACATAAAGAATTCTTACAACACAATATAAAAACAAATAACCTGGGGTGGTGAACACACAATACAGTGTACAGATGATGTGTTGTTGAATTGTGCACCTGAAACCTATATAATTTTGTTAACCAGTGTTAATTAAAAGCAGCAAAACACAAATAACCCAATTTAAAAATGAGCAAGTATATTGTAATAACTATGTATGGTGCCAGGTGGGTACTGGAAATATCAGGGGTAACACTCTGTAAAGTATATAATTGTCTAATCACTACGTACTACACCTGAAACTAATACAAAAATACTGAGTGTAAACTATAAAAAAATTTTAGAAAAATGAGCAAGTGATCTGATAAGCCTTCCTTCAAAGAAAATGTATGCATGGAAAATAAGCACATGAAATATGCTCAATATCACTAGTCATCAAGGAAATGTAAATAAAAACTCCAATGTGATATTACCTCACACCATCTAGAATGGCTATAATAGAAAAGGCAGATAAGGGCAAAGATGGAGGCATAGGCAGATATGCTTCACTTCCTCACACAACCAAAAGGACAACAGGAAATTTACAAACAAACAAACAAACAAAAACCAAACAGCCAGAACTGTCACAAAATGGAGCTGTATGGACATCTGACAACCAAGGACTTACAGAAGAAACATTCATCTAGACAGGTAGGAGGGGAGGAGAGGTGTGGGCAGCTGGTGGAACGGGTGGTTCCACGTTTGTGTGTGATAAACCAGGAGGAACAACTAGGGAGTGAGACAAACCAAACTACCCAGGGTTCCAGCACCGGAAATAAAGCCTCAAAACCTCTGGCTCTAAAAACCTGTAGGGGTTGCAGCAGTGGGAGAAACTGTCAGTCTCATAGCAGAGTCTGTTGGAGGGGCTTATGGGGTCCTAGAACATGCACAAACCCACTCATCAAACAATCAGAACCAGAAGGGTGCAGTTTGCTTCTGGGTAGCAGGGGGAGTGACTGAACACCAACCAAGAGCTGAGCAAGTGGTACTGTCCCCTCTGAGACCCCTCCTGCACAACACAGTGAAGTGGGTTGCCCCACCCTGGTGAATACCTAAGGCTTCTCCTCTTACAATGTAACAGGTGTGCCAAGACAAAGAAATAGGGCCCAAATTAAAGAACAGATCAAAACTCCAGAAAAACAACTGAGTGAGCAACAAGGAGATAGCTAACCTGTCAGATGCAGAGTTCAAAACACTGGTAATCAGGATGCTCACAGAACTGATTGAGTTCAGATGCAAAATAAAGGAAGACGTGAAGGCTATACAAAGTGAAATAAAGAAAAATATATAGGGAACCAACAGTGAAGGGGAAAAAACTGGGACTCAAATCAAACATTTGGAACAAAAGAAAGAAATAAACATTCAACCAGAACAGAATGAAGACACAAGAATTCAAAAAAAAAGAGGAGAGTCTTAGGAACCTCTGGGACAACTTTAAATGTTCCAACATCCAATTTATAGGGCTGTTGGAAGGAGAAGAGGGAGAGCAAGAAATTGAAACCTTATTTAAAAAAATAATGAAGGAGAACTTCTCCAGTCTGGGGAAGGAAACAGACATGCACGTCCAGGAAGCTCAGAGATTCCCAAAAAAGATGGACCCAAGGAGGAACACACCAAGACATATCATAATGAAATTACCCAAGATTAAAGATAAGGAGATCATTTTTTAAAGGTAGCTATGAGTTTAAGATTTTATTTATTTATTTTTAGACAGAGGGAAAGGGAGGGAGAGAAATATCAATGTGTGATTGCCCCTTGTGCGCCCCCTACTGGGGACCTGGCCTGTAAACCAGGCATGTGCCATAGCCTGGGAATTGAACTGGTGACCCTTTGGTTTGCAAGCCAGCGCTCAATCCACTGAGCCACACCAGCCAGGGCAGGAGAGTATCTTAAAAACAGCAAGAAAAAAAGAGTTACCTATAAAGGAGTTCCCATAAGACTATCAACTGACTTCTCAAAAGAAACCTTACAGACAAGAAGGGGCTGGAAAGAAGTATTCAAAGTCATGAAAGGCAAGGATCTACATCCAAGATTACTCTATCCAGCAAAGCTATCCTTTGGAATTGAAGGGCAGATAAAAGTGCTTCTCAGATCATCACCAAGCCCTTATTATATGAAATGGCAAAGGGATTTATCTAAGAAAAAGAAGATAAAAAATATGAACAAGTAAAATGACAACCAATTCGCAACTCTCAACAACTGAATCTAAAAAAACAAAAGTAAAAACAAAAACAAACTAAGCAAACAAACAGAACAGGAACAGAATCACAGAAATGGAGATCACATGGAGGGTTATAAATGGTGAGGGGAATGGGGGAGAGTGGGGGAAAAGGTACAGGGAATAAGAAGCATAATTGGTAGGTACAAAATAGACAGGGAGAGGCTAAAAATAGTATAGGAGCCCTGGCTGGCGTAGCTCAGCGGATTGAGCGCGGGCTGCGAACCAAAGCATCCAGGCTTCATTCCCAGTCAGGGCACATGTCTGGGTTGTAGGCCACGGCCCCCAGCAACCGCACATTGATGTTTCTCTCTCTCTCTCCCTCTCTTTTTCTCCCTCCCTTCCCTCTCTAAAAAAAATACATAAAACCTTTTAAAAAATAGTATAGGAAATGGAGAAGCCAAAGAACTTATATGTATGACCCATGACATGAACTAAGGGGGACAGTGGTAGAGGGAAGGGGGTACAAGGCAGAGAGGGATAAAGGGGAAGAAAAAAGGGACAACTATAATAGCATAATCAATACAATATACTTTAAAGAAGATTTTATTTATTTATTTTTAGACAGAGTGGAATGGAGAGAGAAAGAGAGGGAGAGAAACATCAATGTGTGGTTGTCTCTCACACACCCTCCCCCCTCACTGGGGACCTGGCTCGCAACCCAGGCATGTGCCCTGACTGGGAATCAAACCAGCAACTCTTTGGTTCACAGGCCAGTACTCAATCCACTGAGCCACACTATCCAGGACACAATAAAATATACTTAAAACAAGGCAGGTAATAACGAGTGTTGCCAAGGATGTGGAGAAATTACAACCCTCATTATTTCTGGTTGTACAGTAGTTTTGAAAAACAGTTTGGCAGTTCTTCAAAATATTAAACATAAGAGGTATACAACCCAGCAATTTCACTCCTAGGTGTTCCATTCTAGCAATTTCACCCAAGAGAAATGAACTACATTCACATAAAAATGTGTGCATGAATTTTCAGAGAAGCATTATTCATACAGCCAAAACCTGGAAACAATCCAATGTCCATCAATTGGTAAATGGATAAATAAGATATGGAGTATGCCTACAATGAAATAACATTCAGCTATAAAAAAGAATGAAGTACTGAAACATAAGTGGTGGTACATAAATACTGGTACAGCCATAAGAGGGAATGAAATATTGATACAAGCTACAATGTGGATGAACCTCAAAAACATTATGCTAAGTGAAATATGTCAGACATAAAAGATCACTTATTGTATGATTCCATTTATATGAAATGTTCAGAGTAGGAAAATCCACAAGGGCAGAAAGAAGGTTAACATTTGCCTGGAGCCAGTGGAGGGGAAATAGGAACTGACTGCCAATAGGTATGGGGTTTCTTTTGGGGGTGTTGAAAATGTTCTAAAATGGATGCTAGTGATGGTTGCACAATTCTGTGAATGTGTTAAATTTTAACACCGAATTGTACACTTTAAATGGGATAATAGTATGGTATATGAATTATATCTCAATAAAGCTGTTTCAAAAATACAGCAATACAAAAAGTTAAAAATCATTCCTTTGAAAATGACAAATATAAAATACAATCAGTTAAATCTTCCATTTATTCTGAGTGGTTATACCAGTTAAATTAAATTTAGATCAATATTTACTTACTGTTATATTACAGTGTTATAGTGATAGTATTTATATGATAACATAGGTATTAATGGATAATTAGGGATTAGTGTTAATTATTATCATCATCAAAAAAGCATATTCCATGGCTATTTTATGCTCTGATATAGCTAAATAGCTTTCACAAATTAGAGGTCAAAATTTGAATCTCAAAGGCTTGAAATAACAACTCTGGAAAGGCCTATATCACTCTTTTTTTTCTTAAGATTTTATTTATTTATGTATTTGCTTTTAGAGGGAGGGGAAGACAGGGACAAAGAGAGGGAGAGACACATCAGTGTGTGAGAGATACAACTGGTTGCCTCTCACACACTCCCAACTAGTGACCTGACCTGCAATCCAGGCATGTGACCTGACTGAGAATCGAACTGGCAAACTTCTGGTTCTCGGGCAGCACTCAATCCACTGAGCAACACCACCCAGGGCTAGAAAGGCCTGTATTACTCTTTGATGACTATAAAGCAGATCTCCAGATCTCCAGTAAATGTGACCTGCTTTCTCTGGGGGCTCACAGAGCAAAATTTATGGCTCCAAAGGTTACTGTGGAGGTTATATCAATTCATCATATATCATGGAAAGTTTCATAATATTCAGAATTTCCTTTAAGGGAGCTAATATAAAATTTATCATTTAGTATTTAAAAAAAGAAAATGTTCAATTACACCCATTGGTTAATAATGAAAAGCACAGTTGTCTATTTACCTTCTCTTTAATCGTTACTTGACTATGCAACCTCCATGTATTTGAGAAGCAGCCAATGAAGACGTCATATGTAATACATGTGGTTTGGTATACTATAAAAACCACTGAGCTAGGAGTCAAAAGACCCAAAGTGAAGTCTCAGTACTACCTATTCCTAGCCATGTGACCCTGAGTAACGTATCCTCTCTAAGCCTCCTCATTTATAATAAGGGAATCATACCTACCTTGTCTACCTCATTAAATTGTTACATGGATTAAATAATGGAATGTATGAAAAAGCACACTGAAACCTTAATTCTAAAGTACTGTAATCACTATGATTAATATTATAACGTAATATACTAATTATTACTACTAGTATGAGAAGATCTGAGGGAGGACTGCACTGCTTATATTAGAATTCTGCACGTCTAGTCCCAGCATGGAAGGAATGGACTGCATGGAAGGAAGGATACTGGATAGCTTCTCTGGCTCTACATATTCAGAGCATTACTTTACATTATTTTAGTTCATTGAAATAGTAGACATATTCACATTCAAAGGTAAGTACTCAAAACCAAATATAAATGTTTGGGAATTTTTTCAATTTGGATTAGGCATCCCTCCACTGGAGCACAGCCGCCAAGAGCTGACTTTACATAAAGAGGTCAGAAAAAGTGTACACAAGGCAATCATGGAAAAGGAAATTTGCAGTCAAATGTGTTTGTGCTCTTACAACAGCAATGCTACTCAGAAGCAGAACCTGCTTTTCTGAGAACACTCAGTAATACCAACTTCAACAAACCATGGCATTCAAGGAACTGTGACACATGCTAGAGACACAAAGATAAATTAAACATGATTCCTGACCTTATAGTCTAGTGGCTGAAGCAGACATATATGCTGCCAACTGCAATAGCTCAGAAAGAGACTATAGAATATTGAAAGACTATTCTACCCGTTGACTCAGGCTGCAGTTAATCTACTTGCACTCAGTACAAAGAAATATGATCCAGGTTAGTACACGTCAATCAACTCAGAAAAGAATGGATAGAAGTTTTTCTTTCCAAATGTAAGATAAATCTTAAAATTAAAATCTTACTATTATATTCAATAGATAAAACCAGGCAGGAGTTTATTCCTATTATCATACAAAATGTTAAAATACAACATATTTAAAACTCACTTTTGAACCAGGAGGCAAGCCTTCTAGCTCTTTAGGTTTTATAAATGTCCGATGCTGTGCCTTGTGATCCAGTTTCTCCTTGCAGGTCAAAAACTGTAGTCTGCATTTTGTACAGCGATGAACTCCTTTTTTCTGTTTACAAACAATATTAGAAATAAAAATTTCTACTACCACAAAACCTGGGACCTGAAATTGCTCTTAGTTCTAATAACTAAACAATTTAAAAATCAGTGTTTTGCCATATTCCATCATAAATAACATCAAAATATCATTTCATTATATAAAAGCACTTCTTGCATTAGTATTTGGGTTTCAAAAGCATTTGTTACTATATAGGCAATCAACATGAAAATTATAACAATTAGGTTCCAATGGGACAAGTTCTATAGCATTTATAGGGTGAAAGCCTTTTGAATTTACATTTGAAGTAGAAATTATTCAAACACATGGTAACATGAAAATGAGCTAGACTGTATTTTTATCCATGAAAACAGATATTCTTTTTTAATGTTGTTATTTCCATTTATTTCACAAGTTGGTAAAATACATTGAACTTTCTAACACCAAAAAATTTTACCCAAACTCTCCCATAAAAGTTATGTAGAAATGGTTGTATAAAGCAGGGCTGCCCAATAGGACATTCTAGACTGATGATAATGATCTACAAGTGCACTGTCCAGTTTGGTAGCCACTAGCCACATCTGGTTATTGAGCACTTAAAATGTGGCAAGTCCAACAGAAGACTTAAATTTTGATTTAAAGAGACACATATGGCTAGTGGATCAGCTGAACAGCTGATTCCAATCTACTGCTTGAGAACCCCTCAACTGCGTTCCCTCTCAAACCCAGTCCTGTTATTATTTTACCAATGGGAAATAGGACCCAAGAGATACCTAAGTGATTTGCTTATAGCTAGTGTTTTTCTACTATAAATTATATATTATCAATTTCAATCTTTATATATATGCTTTCATTAATTAAAGTTATATTTTATGTTTATATGTAAATTTAAAACAACATACAGATACAAAATAACTTTTTCTCTAAAGCTGTCTCTCTTTAGGCCCATCACTATTTACATTTGAAACAAATAATCATTTAGGAAAAGCAAACAAGGTAAGGTACATGAAAGTACCTAACAGTTTCTAGTGCATAGCATGAATGTTATAAATAAAAATTCTTTACACATTTCAAAGCAATATATAAATATAAAGTGTTTATATTACTAGTTTAGTATAATTTTATGACGTTAATTTTTTCCTTTTATTGATTCTAGAGAGAGGGGATGGAAGGGAGAAAGAGAGGTAGAGAAACATCAATGTGAGGGAGAAACATTGATTGGTTGCCTCTTGCAGTGCCCTGACTGGAGATCAGCCCCATAACCCAGGCATGTGCTCTGACAGGGAATTGAACCTGTGATCTTTTGATTTTCAGGACAATGGCCAGCCAACTGAGTCACACTGGCCAGGGCTCATTTTAAGACTATTTTAGAAGTAAGGTGCATTGGATCATACCATAGGTACAGGCAATATAAACAGATGCACCTATATGTGCTCAAAAGAGAGAAAGAGGGGGGAAAAGTCTCAAACAAACAAATCAGTAAAATAAAACCAGAGGCATGGAAACAAGGGACAGAATGACAGAGACCATAGGGAAGGTGGAGAGGGATGAAGGGGGAAAGAAGGGGAAGGGTCTGATGAACGAGCATGTATGAATGACCCATGGATATGGATAACATTGTGGGGATTGACTGTAGGAGGGGGAGGGTGGGTGGGGCAGGGGAGAGCAACAGGGAAAATTGGGACAACTGTAATAGAACAACAATAAAAAACAGCAAGATAAAAGGAAAGATAGGAAGTTCCCAAGTATAGTTCTCAGAATTTTTTTCCCTCTACTTGTACTTATACCTACCTCATCCAGTTTCGTGATTTAAAATTATCACCCATCCAACTGTCTCCTCAATGTCATTACTTGTTATCTAACAGGCATTTCAAATCAACATGGACAAAACTGAACTCTAGATTACCCCCCAGCCACCCTGCAAAAAAAAAAAAATCTGTCCCCTCCTAGTTTTTCCAATCTCAGAATACGGGAACACCATTCTTATTTATAGCTGTTTGGGACAAAAGAACTTGGTCATTCTTAACTCTTTCTTTCACACCTCACATCCAACCTATTAATAAAACCTGTCAGCTCTGCTTTCAAAAACAATCTTTTCACTTTTCATCCCCCCATCCACTGCCACCATACCAGTCTAAGCGACTCATCTGGACTCTTGCAATAGCCTTCTACCTTCCCCTTGTTTCCATTTTTTCCTCCCAACAGTCTACTCTCTCCATAGCTGCCAGAGTAATCTCTCACATGCTTAAACCCTCCAATGGCTTCCCATAACACTCCAAAATCCTGACTCTGGCTTATGATGCCCTATACTATCTGCCCTATATTCTAATGCTACCACTTAATTTCCTATTATTTTTCCTCCCAGTTGTTTACTGCGCTTCAGCAATACTAACTAACCTCTTTGCTGCTCCTTGAACATTTAGATACATGCTCACCTCACTGCCTACTTACTGTTCCCTCTACCAGGGGCATTTTCTCCCAGATATATACATGGCTTTCTTAATTTTTTTTTTTTGGAGAGGCTCTCTTTGACCACTCCATTAAAAAAACCCCAGAAACTACTCATTTACCTCCTAAGCCCTGGCACTCCCTATATTTTCTTCCCATGGTACTCATCACCAACTGGCATACATATATTCAGATATCACATACACACTCTTCTCCACTATAATGCAAATCCTAGAAGGCACAAACTTTGTTTTGTTCATTTCTGAAAAACAGCCCCTGGCATATATTAGGCACTCAATAAATACAGGGTGGGGTAAAAGTAGGTTTACAGTTGTGAGTATGCAAAAACAGTTTATTCTTGTATTATTATTTATTAATTATTGTATTATTTTCCATATGAAGAATTGTAAACCTACCTTTGTCCCACCCTGTATTTGATAAATAGTGAGACATACAGCAAGAGACTGACATAGAATGCACATGAAAAGCAGGCACAGTTTAACTAGTTCGAATGTCTGCCATTCCATTCCATGAGCATCTGCCCAGAGCCCTGAGATGGGAGCCCTGAGCAGATTAATCTACTGTTCCTTTAGTTGGACTCAACTCTGCATACCTATTTTACTCACGCATGCTTGCAATGTGCTAAGGACAATAAAGTACATTTTTTAATAGCATAGTATGTTCAACCAAAGACAATAGTGATCTGTTCCAGGGACAAAGAAAAGTATCTGTTGAACTTTTGACAAGTGTACTGTATCGTTTGGGTGATCTGAAGGATTTTCAAGGTTAATCCTGACTACCTGTAAATCTGCCTTCAGACCTAATATCAAAGAATATGACTCTGAGATAAAAGCTTTGGCTGTAAGACAAATTTTGGTCCTGCCACTTACTAGAGAATGTGACATCGGGCAAGTAACTTATTTTCTACAAAGCTTTGTTCCCTCATCTATGAAATGAAAATGACAATATGCCTGTTTTGTAGAGTGGTGGTGAGGATTAAACAAAATACAAGTAAAAACATTAGTAACTGTCATACAGCAAGTGATTAGTGTAAGTTAACTGCTCATTATTATAAAGATCTACTGAGGCTATATAATACATCTGAAATCCTTCATCCTTTCTTAAAAGTTGTACAAGCTGTACTGTTAGCTCTAAAATCACTCAAAACATAATACATTCTTTTACAAAAAAGTTACAACCACAGTCTTCAAAAAGAATCAAATTTTATCTAGACTGAACAATTCTTGTGTAAAATTGCACTAATGTCATCACAATTACAAGCTTATAATCCTGCCACGGTTTCTGAGTATTTTGTGAACAATTATACAAATTATTTGAAGGATGCCTGATGACCTTTCATATTAATAGAGCCTTTCCTCTATTGACTCCTGACCGCCTCCCTCTTAAGTACTTGAAACTTACAAAAAAAATGGGTACGCAAGGTTTGTAGGTAGTCCCCAAGACTACTCCCAGGTTTGATGATCTAGTACAGAGGTGTCAAATTCATTTTCACCAGGGCCCCATCAGCCTTGCGGTTGCCTTCAAAGAGCTGAGTATAATTTTAGGGCTGTATCAATGTAACTACTCCTTAACAGTTAAGCAAGAGCTCGACACTGCTGCTGGACAGAAACAAGGTGCCAGGCTGGATAAAACAAGATGGAGGGATGGATTTGGCCCATGGACCTTGTGTTTGCCACCTGTGCTCTAGTAGGAGGAATTAAAAGACTTAGAAGTTGTGATACCCACAGTTCTGATTTATTACAGTGAAAGGATACAGAGAAGGATTAATAAAGGGAAAAAAGTACACGGGAGTCTGGAGGATACTGGTGCCAGTTTCCAAGTGCCTTCTCCCAATGGAGTTGTATAAGACACACTTAATCCCCTAGCAACATCTATGCAGTGTTTTTTGTTTGTTTGTTTTGCTTTGTTTTGTTTTGTTTTGTTTTATTTATTTATTTTTTTGGCTAAGGAAGCTCTCTTGAGTCTAAGAGCTGAGATTTTTTCATGGGTTCAGTCGCCAAACCTTTAGATGCCCAGAAGAAAAGCAAGTGTTCACCATAATTGTATTTTTTTGCACAAATGATCTAGAAAATCTGGTACAATGTGGTTCAAGGTTGCAGGCATGTAAAACACTTCTCATTTAATAACAAAGGTTCTAGGAGTTAGCCAAGACCAGTTATGCAAGTAAACCCTTCTGAAAATGTGCATGATTTGAGCAACTCAGTCCTGCTAGGTTAACTCTTTCCTAGATACATGGCAGGTTCAGATGTACAACTTGAGGTATGAAGAGTGACCAAGATCATATGAACCACTTAAGAGACACAGTCCACATAGCAGGCCCATCCTTCTTTTTCTTACCTTTCTAAGCATGTATTACTCCCTCCACACCCACACTTTACCCTGGAGTTTAGTAAAGCATGGGAGATAGAATTATGTTAAAAACTTCATAATGAAATAGAGCTTTTATCTCCTACTTCCTTTCAAAATCAAAGGTCAAAAGATTAAATACAGAGCACCAAGACCATTGTTTCCCAAATCCTAATCCCCAAGAAATGGTGATAGGTATTGAGCAAATAAAGGTTTCAACGGTCAAATAAATTTTGGAGATAAAATATACAATACCCCTTTGCTTGGACATTTATGATTTTTAGCGTATTAAAAGCTCTGAAAAGTTTTATTTTAAAAATAAACAAAAGTCAATCATTTAATTTTATAAATCTAGCCATTTACTGAATTTTTTCCAGGAACAATTTTAGAGCAGACGTCTACTAACATTTGACAGAACTTTGGTGCAGACCCTAGAACAGAAAGATCTTGTCAGAGGTTCTTAAGGGTAAGGTCGCATACCAGGATAAAAAACTAAGCATGTCGGTACCACCCCAGTCATAACATAGATGGTCCTAAATGTATCTGGATATGCTGATTTTATGATTTTTTCCAATTAACAACTACAAGTTGATTTTATGATTATCAGACAACTGGAATTAAAAGCAATGTTAGCAGTAGTGCTGAATAAATCGGCTGTGACAATGTAATCAATAATATGTAGTAAACTGATCTGTGAGGAGACAAACCTTGATTGCATAATCAGATTCTGTGAATTCATGACTTCTGGTTTTGGCAAAGGTACCACTGCTTTTTCAAACACTCAAGAATAGGTTTACATCAATGTTTTCAGCCAAAATAAAGGATGGTCTAATTGTGTCAGGAAAATAGCAAGAGGCATAAAATGAGAATTCAAAGGAAACATGAAAGCAGTAATACGGGCATCTGAGAGATTACACAGCAGGACTGGCAAGTCATCCAGAAAACAAGTTATAACGTAAACATAATTCTCTGGCATAGTTCACATATCTAGAAATAAATCTCATTGCTGTTTCCTTTGTCACTGACTGCTACAAAAGGCCATTTCAAGCCACTGAAGAGAACCACATCTTTGCATAATTAGAAATGGGCTACAAATTGGAAATAATGTTTGAAGAGAAAAAGGAAAAAGATTATGAGCCCTAAATCTTATCTTACTCAGTTCATACTTATCCCTTTCCCTGCTCCTGATTAACTACTTTCAGAATCAGTCCCATTCTTACCACTCTTAGACCCCTGGAATAGCCAACTTAATATTCCACTCACATTCCATCTTCCCCTCCATTCTAGGGTTCCTATGTCTACCTGTCCTTCAGAATTTTCCCTATCCATGAGCCTCATCATCACCAGGAAACAGACAAATAAAGGAAGTGGAAATTTCACAAGTAACAGCATAAATTATAAATGGTATCATTTGCAACAAATTTGCTTTCCTTCTAGAACAAATCTAGCCAATGCTTTAAGTGACATGTGCGCGCGCACACACACACATACACACATACACACACACACACACACACACACACCTTTTCAGTAAGACAAAATAAACACATAAGAACTGCTAAATCTCACCTGATGTTTCATGTAATGATTCATGTACGGGGTTGCCATTCTACTAACTTTGAGGCAAAATGGACACAGCAAGTTCTTTGTGTTTTCATGGGATGCTCTAAAATGACTTTCTACATCAGAAAATGTTGATGATCTAAACTGGCAAACCTAGAAATATAAAGAAGGTTTAGTTTAACTTCAAAATTTATAACTGATACACAATTACATCAAAATAGCAATGATGAATCCTTTGTTCAGAGGAACATTACATTCTACTAACTCAGCTCTGCTGCCTATATGATGAAGAATCTTATTACTGTAAATAATAATGATAATCTTTGAAACAGAGAAGTTATCATTCAAAGTTTAAAAATATATTCCTAAATGTAACTAGATTTCTTTCTTTTCAGATCTACTACCCCTTCCCCTGACTTAAATTTTCAAACTCTGATACCTCTTATCTTATAAAGTTTATCCAGCTATATAAAATGGAGTATTCTTTTCTTTGGATTTTAAATAGCATCCAGGATATGACAGAGGCAATTTATCTTTATCTTGCTATCTTATTGGGAACCAGTTCAAATTCTGGGAAAATAAAGGCCACAAAGCATTTAGTTGAGTTCCCCATAATTAGCAGCATTTGTTATTTCTCTAGCATGTCCATATTGTTCCCTACTTGGTAATTAATAAAGTCCATACGTTTGTCTTTTTCCAACAGAGTATTCTGTTTTTCTAGTATAGGGGCCAGTAAACTATGACCCACAGGCCAAATCCAACCCACCACCCACACATATGTTAATTAAACCAAGGGAGTTTCCATGACTGAAGAGGCTCTTCAATTTTAGTAACTTTTCTTTGAATAGTTAAAAAATTCAAAAAACAACATTATTTCATGGCACATGATTAATTAAATGAACACCTAAGTACACAATAAAATGTGTGTGTGTACCTGGCAAATATATGGCATTTCACCGGGTTTATGAGTGTCCTTCATATGTTGTAAAAGAGTATGTTCTGTTTCAAATGATAATTCACAGATTTTACAAATAGCTGAAATTGGAAAAAAACATATTGCACCATATTAAGGATGTATATAAATAAGAGGTTCATTTTGTACACCTATAACAATAGCAACAAGTAATAATAGTAACAGTGATGATGGTTCCAACAATTCTATAGTGTTAACACTGTTAATGCTGTTCTAAGAACTTTACTTGTATTAGCTTACTTAATAATTCCCATTCCATCATTGAGAGTGACTGCTATTTTTATTCCCATTTTTCAGATAAGGAACCCGAGGCACAGAAAGATTAAGTAACTGGCCTAAGATCTTGCAGTTGCATTAAGAGGCAGAGCTGGAATTTGAATCCAAGCCATTTAACTCCACACTCTGATTTTAACTTTCATTGCCATTACTTTTCTTATTCAAGTATAAATCAAGACCATTGATTTCATATTTGCAAACCAGGGAATCTGGTTTTCTAATTTAGCCCCTTATACACAATGCATGAGTTATGCCCTACTTACAAAAGGAACTTCAATTTTAGCAAGTAATTGTATTGAAAAGTTTCTACAAGTTAAAACTTGTTTTCCAACTTTGCCCTCAAACTACCAAGTCTATTTCTTATTCTTATTTTTTTCTATCAGATTTCTCAAGGATTCCTCATAGTTTAGATGATGAAAATCATTAACGCTCAGGACTTCAGTAAAATTGTGACTTACTAGAAAACTCATGAGGTGTGTGTGTGCTCTCAATGTGACACTGCAGCTGGAATGGTGTGGGATACTGACGGTAACAGTGCTGGCAGGTGGTGTGGCTTTCCCAGCTCTCACTGTTCTGCTTCTCAAGTTCTAAATGGTGTTTCATGTGGTTCATAAACCTATAAATAATTGTCAACAGGTGCGAATATTCAGATTTACAACCAACGAAAAACCTCACAAATAAGTATCTGGGCCTAAATGTTAAAACAGCAGTTGTATTACTCAAAATAATATCTCCAAGCCACAAAATCGTCTAGAAAAGTATGCACTTTATGTTTTTTAAAGATTTTATTTATTTTGCACAGAGAGGGGAAGGGAGGGAGAAAGAGAGGGAGGAAAACATTGACCGGTTGCCTCTCGCATGCCCCCAACCAGCCACGTGGCCCACAGCCCAGAGTTCAACCCACTGAGCCCAACCAAACAGGGTGAAAAGTGTGCACTTTAAATAATCACTTTCATTAAGTGGCTTAGTAAATCTGTTTGTACAAAATAATCTCTTTGTTTTAAAATAACCCATTAATAGTTAATATGAAATACCACTAATTTGCTAGAACTCTCCACCATTATTTCAGGTTAATTTTTTTTTTGTAAAGAAAAACAGCAGGCTTTTTTTCCATATATGAAATACAATTTACATTTTAAAGCAAAATACTTAAAGGAAGGAAACCCTACCACCAAAAGCAGTTACTATAGAGTCAGGAGAGAAAACTTCTGAAGGCCTTAAATATATAAAACAGGTTTCAGCTGCTTAAAGGAAAAATTATTAGTATTTTTATGTGTCTTGGTTTCTAAATGCATGTAATGCATTAATAAGTATTAAATTATAGCATTTTAATACTGATAATTTAATGGTACTAGTTTCCTTTTAGCAGAAATTATTCCTTTTAACTTGTGGGCTATGAACTTTTTTGTACAATGTCATCCATTTCTAGATTCTACTATGTCAGAGTCCCAAAAAGGCTTCTCATAGGAAGGAAGTATGACCTTCAATGGCAGAGAGTACTATTGAAACAGGCATATCTATTTCAAAGGCTCACTGAAACTTTTTACTTAATTTCCAAGAAAAGTTAATCCATCAAAACAAGACTGTGTCAAATATTAACCGTTATTCACTATTAGTCCCTAAAGGAAGTAATGAAATGAATTGATAATGTCATCAATCTAATAGCAATCATTGTGGAGGCTTTGACATTTATCTTTTCATACTTCCAAAATACTAGTTCATTTTAGAGCTGCTTATGGTGCACTTTGAAACGTCTTTGTTCCTCTCATTTTAACTTTACCTCTATTCAAATTTATTTTAAAAGTTTTAGTCTTGCCTAAATACATATAAAGGACATAAGCCACTCAACTTTCAGCTCATGACTTTAAGAAATAAAATCTATTTGTATAAAATAATCTCTTAATCAACTAGCTATCTTTCAATTATTACAATGCCCCTATCAGCAGCTCACACTGCTTAAACCCCTTACAAGGCTGTTCTCAGAATAAAATAGCCCTATATTGGTTATACTCAATGTAGAAAAAAATATCCAACAATATGTTGATAGGGCAGAGAATAGAAATCTTGAGCTATTAGCTTCTACCATTCTCTAAAACCAACAATTTGCCATCCTAGTTTTTACTATTAAGGTAAAATGTTATTTAACACATACGACAGTGTTTACTGCTCAGGTTTCATTTACTAAATAATATGTCAAAAAAGCTACAAAATTCCTAGATATTATAAAACATGGTTAGCTTAAACTTTCTAGATAGTCTGATAATATAGAAATCTGTAACCAGTCTTTTGAAATGATAACAAAAAGAAAATTTCTTGTTTAATATTAAATGACTAGTCTTAAGGGAAAAGCCAAAAAGCTTTTGCTAAATAGAACTTCTACTGTCATATGTATAACATTTAAGTATAATAAGGAACTTAACTGTGAACTACTTTCCATGAGTTCTACCAAAATTACTAATGTATTTTCTGATGTGTTTTACTATAAACATGGCAAAAACATGGAAGGAGGTCACAGTGTTTCAGTGTTACATCTCAAAGTACAACTTCTCTTCTGTTAAGCTACTGAAACCATTAGCAATTGAAAGCTATTAGGGCTTGATAAAAAGGAGGTAAAGAAGTGTGAACACTCATATGAATAATATTTGAAAAACCTTTGGAAGTTATAAAGCCCTACCCTAAACATAGTATTCATAATTTGGTTTATGCTTATATTATAGTACAGTTCAGCATTTTTCTATGTACTTCATTCTAAATCTAAAATTCACCAGAAAATAAAATAAACCCTGGGCTTACAAATGACCTATAGGATGCCTATGAATGTTACTTACATATGATGGTTATCAAGGGTAAATATTTTTAAAAGTTTACATATGTGTATGAGTCACAATATAGGTATATGTATTTCATGTAAGGGAAGAGCACTGATGCCTGCAATTTACTCTGAAAAGTATAAAAAAAAATCAGATGGGTCTATGGATGAATAAATATGTAGTAATACAAGTATAGTAAAATGTTAATGGCAGAACTGAGGTGGATAAATACATACAGATGCTTTTTGTAACATTTTCAATTTTGCTGAATAGTTGAATTTTTATAATAAAATATTGGAAAAACAATGTCAGGTTATATGGTATAAACAATGAAAATTACCTATCAATGTCTGGTTACTTTGTTTTTGTTACTATCTCACTTAGGATGATAGATATGTAATATGTCATACAACTCAAAGGCTGTCAAGTATAAATTCCTAAAATTTAAAGCATATATGTATAAACCTTCAAAATTCCACTGAGAATTAAATCTCTACTTTTAAAATGTGCTAAACTACAAAATCAAAGCAGACATGTTTCAAAGAACTGGCCCTCCTCTAAAAAATCATTTTGTCCCACAAGGTAAATGTGCTAAAAGTTATAAATATGAATTAAAAAATTAGTGCATTAAATAAGACTATTATGAAGGAAGTCAAACTGGATTAAGTGGTTCTTCTTGTGATAGAAAAAGTAAGATTGAAAAGCAACTAAAAAATAAAAATGTCATTTCCCCCTAAATTAAAACAAATTTTGTCCTTTCTTAAGTTATCTGAAAGAAATACAACTAAGTGGACCCAATTGTCAAAATCCTAAAATACAAGAAAGGACAAAGGCTTTTCAGCATGATAATCACCTTTGCTCTTTGTAGAAAGTGCTAAAATTGCTAAAATGGCAACAAAATAAATATACAGTATTATATCCGTAGCATCCCAATTTTCAAACAGAAATAGAAATATATACATACCTAATATTATTTTTAAGAACTTTCAAACAACTGAAGCATTTAAAGGTTGTGTAAGTTTTCTGCTCATTGTCAACATCTCCTTCATGTTTTCCGTAGTAAAAGTCACTAACTAACATGATCAACTTTTCCTTCTCTGTACCAGTCTTATCTTTACTTTCAGTATTTGAAATTTCTACTTTGATCATCTCCAAAAATTTATTTAGCATGTCCGGACAACAACGCTGAAAGAGAAAAACATATAAGCCATACTTACATCTCTTTTAAAAATTAGACAACAAAAAATGATTTTGAGTTTAAAACTAGGGCCAGTTCATGTAAAACTGTGCTTGGCACTATACCTGGAATGATAGTCACCAAAATGTTGGCTTCTTTCTTTATATAGTCTAAAAATTTCAAATAATATACACCCTTTTTATCTTCATAAAGAAATAAATAGAAAACTTTAAGGTCAGGGATGGCTATATATCAACTTTTTTCCTTTCAATTAAATTTTATTGACGTAAATATCTAGTAGTAATTTGCAAATTGGCCAAAAATCAAACATTTCATATATGTGTCAAAATATAGCTCAACATAGTAGTATTTCAGTAAAGTCTGGTTGGAACTAGACTTTGAGCACAGGTAAATTGCCATTCCCCAGACTCAAGGTACCTAGAAAATGTATGGGACCCAAGGAAAGAAGCACCAGTTGCATCTTGAAAACCTCAACACATTCTATCTAGAATGCTGAAATATCGTGGAAATCTACTTCATGAATAAAATCAATGCTGCATATAAACTGACCCTAATGGTGAATACTTTCATACACGAGTTTTTTATTGCCAATGAGATAAATTGTGTATAGTAATCCCCTTACTGTACACAATTTTCAGTTGTAGAATTTCCCCGTTGTTCTTTAATAACTATTTCCTAAACATACAAACTACATATACACAATGCAATCACAAAGTGAAAGACTTTAAAAAATAAGTTACAAGAAAAATTATGACAGAATCGAGACAAGTAAAACCTATCAAACCAATTAAATCTATCCTACCAATGAATACCAATGTTTAACTCAACCACTACAAACAAGCAACCAAAACAGAACCAGGCACACTGAAATAAAGAACAAACTGACAGTAACCAGAGGGGAGGAGGGAGATGTGTAACAGGGGAAAATAGGGGAAGATATATAAAGGACACATGGACAAAGCCAAATGGGGTAGGTCTGAGGGTGGGATAAAAATGGAGACACTCATACTTGAACAACAACAACAAAAAAGAAATTTCATGTAGGATCACAAAAGAAAAAACAACTCTGGTGAAAAAAAAAACGATTAGCGTTGAAAATAAAAAAGATAAACACAGATTATAACAGGCAAATGAACATCATAAGAAAGCAGAGGTTGTGAGCCTGATATCAAACAAAATAGGATCAAAGCCAAAAAAGGGACAGTTTATAAAAACACAAAAGGGTACATTCATAATGAAGTTTATAAACATAGGTTCACCTATATTCGTAAATGGCAACAACTGTAAAACAGAACTGGAAGATATCAAAGAAAATAGTGGTGATAATGTGAGACTTTGAGACCTTCTCAATCCATGACAGAACAAGCAGACAAATATAAGCGAATATATAGGAACCTAAATAACGTATTAGTACATTAGATCTGATTGATAACTATCAAATTTCATACCTCCCCCAAAACATCCCTTATTTTCAAGTTTCCAAATAACAATCATATATTTTTAAAATGGAAATCTCTACTGTAATCTTATACAATTTTAACTGATATGTCTCCCATAGTTTTAATCACAAGCAATGCTACAATAAGATAAAAAAGCTACACATCGGAGAATGTTTGCCACTTTCTCTAGATGCAGGGGTATATATAATACGCTATGTTTTGTGCATAAAAGGAATAAAAAATAAGAACATTTATGTGTGCCTGTATATAGAGAAAGCAAATGAAAGAGGATATAAATTAATAAAAGTTATTTCCTTTGTGAGTTGTATTGGGAACTAGGCAAATAAGGAGAGGTGTGAGATTCTTCACTGTATACCTTCTTATACTTTTTTGAATCATGTGACTGTATTACTCCCAAAGTTCAAGAAATTAAAAGTAACTAAGAAACTCAGCCTTTTTCTGTCTCTCCATCTAATGCAAAACATAAAACATCAAGTATCTGTATATAATATTACAGAGATCAGAAAACCAAAAGCACCTGTACAAGTTACTTCTTACATAAAACCAAACCCAAAGTCTAGTTGGCAGGCATCACTCAGAAAGGTCAAAATAGTGATAAATCAAATACAGTTTTACATAAGAAAAAAAAAGATTGCATTTGGAATTTTGGGATGCCCCTTTGTTTATAACATGTTTTTAGAAAATTCTGAATTTCAATGAAAAATCTGTCAAACTTTGAAATAGTAATAACCTTTCCTAATTTGCTTCTTTGCCTTGTCCTCTTCTTATCCCTTCTCTCCTGAATATAATCTACACTGCCTTTTTTCTTGCCTCCTTTCCCCCTTCTGTCATTTATGCTGGGCATACAAGAAGAATACAGATTAGCTTTATAGATCAGACACACAGAACACTGTAATATCTACTAAAATATTTTAAGAGGATCGATATATAAACCCCATACTTCATTAATACTTTGAAAATTACCAAAAACCTAATTCCAAGAGCTTCCTACACTAATATAAAGCTAGAATTTATAGCAACTATACAAACTACATTCTGGATTGAGTTAAAACAATTGTTTAAATAATATGAAATGATTCACCATTAGGAGTTTACATCTGAGTGTTAAAAATTAAAATGCGTGACAAAAAATTTCATTAAGTACTGTGACATGCATATGAAAAAATGGACAAAAAATAAAAAAGGAAATTTTTAAATCACATATAAGATTAAGCACTTGAAATATTCTGATTAGTACATTGTTTTCATTAAAAATTAAAATGCAATGTTATACTATAGTGTATATAAACTTAATTTTTAAAATTTGATACTTGAGAAGGATTTTAAAATCTTATATGAAGATGATCATTATAAATATCAATTTTTACTTAAGTTATATGAAAATACCAATGAGGAGATTTATCTAAATGTCTAGACAAACTAGTATTTACTATTTATCAATCCTTAATATTTTTAAATATTTTTATTTCTAACATAAAAATTTGAAAAATTTTACCTTCATGTGATATTTCAAAGCATCCAAAAGATTGAACTGAACATTGCACTTTGGGCAAGGTCTTTGAAAAGGCATTCCAGTTTTATGTTCAATTGATGAGGTATCTGAAATAAATTAAGGATTTTTATGATTCAAATTTTTCATCTTAAACCTTAAACAACCACTAATAATAGTTTCAAAATTTCTCATAACTTCTGACACTTATATTTCTTCTTTGTACACCATATTCATGTTTACCTTTTGATGTCATAACTGGTGAGGATGTCACTGAAGGAGAGCTGTCTAAAGATAACGAAGCACAAGAATCTATTTCAGAAACATCTTCGTTGGTCTTTGGCTTTTTTGGATTAAGTCTGCTTGCTATAACAGAATGTTTTTTTATAGGCAAAGTTTCATCCAGAGCTACAATTTAAAAAGTAAAAAAAAAATTGTGAATATTTTAGTACAGAACATTGCTTACAAATGCTACTAAAATGGTCTTACATTTAAAACTTCAGTAAAAATACTTCAGAGTTAAATTAAAGGCAATACAACTGAATTACCATATCATACAAATGACAATAAAGAATGATCAAAATTTGCCCTGGCTGGAGTAGCTCAGTGGATTGAGCTCGGGCTGGGAACCAAAGTGTCCCAGGTTTGATTCCCAGCCAGGGTACATGCCTGGGTTGCAGGCCATAACCCCCAGCAACCGCACATTTAAGTTTCTCTGTCTCTCTCTCTCTCTCTCCCTCCCTTCCCTCTGTAAAATAAATAAATAAAATCTTAAAAAAAAAGAATGATCAAAATTTATATGATCAATAGGTAGAAACTGCACAAACAGCTATTACAAACTACACATATTTAAACTCATAAAATAAACTTGTAAGCAAAAAATTCTAAAGACACTTTTGAATAAAGAAATATATAAATAGGTAGCAGGAAAAAAAATCAGACCAAAAAATAGCTTCCAAAATTAAATCACAGAGAATATTCTAAACTCAGTTCCAAAAATGAATTTATTTTTAGACGTGCAAATGCTTTTGTGCTTGTAAACAAAAACAATTTCTAATCTAAAAATTTAGAGAAACATTTTAAGATACTTATGGAAAACTCAAGTTTGTTCTTTTTCCACTTAACAAGCTGACTGGTGGTCTAAATGATCTGTTTATTCCCCTGAGTCTAATGCAGGGATGTCAAACTCATTATCACTGGGGGCCACATCAGCCTCGGGGTTGCCTTCAAAGGGCTAAGTGTAATTTTAGGACTGTATAAACGTAACCACTCCTTAACAGTTAAGCCAGAGCTTGGCGCTGCCGCTGGGTAGAAACAAGGTGAGGCCAGACAAGGTGTGGCTGGGTAAAACAAGGTGGAGGGCCTTGTGTTTGCCACCTGTGCCTTAAAGGCTTCTGGATGATGCAATTCAGGGCATTTGCAAGAGAAGTGGGGCTACTTAGGGTACAACCAGATCCAGCAGAAGTCCTTTAGAAATGAAAACACAATTGTAATTTGTGATAAAAATTCTAAAACTTCACATCAAATCCGTGTTTTAGTTTTTGAGATAACATAGAAGTAATTTTTTCCATCTTCAAATACATCATACTGCAGGAACTTGGGACTGATTTTTGTCTGATCACACTAACATTGTTCTCACATGCTTAGGTTACCTGAACAACCAATGAGCGCTGGTTATTTTGGACTAGGCAACTGAGTATCTAGCAGGCTGTACAGTAAAAACAGACTTTTATATATAATTTTTTAAAGTATGGGTAAATTTCCAAGTTAAATAAAATCACTCTGGGCTCAACAGTTTAAAATGCTGACTCTAACTTATTTATATCTGTTGCTTTTGACTTGTGCTGTTCACTAGCCTCAATGATGCCAATAAAATCCTGTTCTCATTCTCCAAAATTAAGTTCAAGTCCAATCTTCTCCAAGAACCTTCTAGACAGAAGTCTAGTAATCATTCTTCTGAACACATAGCACATATTAGCATCCATAATTCTCATGTGAACAATTGTTTATTGTCAAGTCCTTTAAGGCTTTAATGTATTTCTTGCTTCTCACTTATCTCATTTGAGCCTCAAAAAAGCTCTAAGTAGAGCAGGAATTAAAATTGTATCTCCAAATGGCTGATTTCAGGTCTGAAGAATGCATTATGTGAGAAAAATAAAAGTATTTATTTTAATAATATGAAAAAAATAGGTGTAAAGATGGTAGTTCATTTGATAAAGGCTATGAAAATGTTTACAATAGAGTCTGAAACTTCTATCTTCCTAATCAACTATAACCTTATTTACTATCAGGGCAATGTTCTGCTCCTCGTAGTACTACAACTTATGGAGAGAGAGTAGGAGTCACTATCTTTACCCCTTAGAAGCTTCAAGAATTCAGGCTTTTTTATGAATAAAGATCATGTGCTGCCCTGGCCGGTGTGGCTCAGTTGGTTGGAGTGCCTCCTGTAACCGAAAGGTTCAGGGTTTGATTCCCGGTCAGGGCATAGGCCTACATAGTGGGTTTGGTCCCTGGTCCAGGCATGTATGTGAGGGCAACCAATCAGTGCTTCTCTCTCACTTTGATGTTTCTCTCCCTTCACCTCTCCCATTCTCTAACAGCAATGAAAAAATGTTCTTGGGTGAGGATTAAAAAAATAAAGACAATGTGCTTTTAAAAAAAAATATTTTATTTATTTATTTTTAGAGAGAGAGGAAGAGAAGGAGAAAGAGGGAGAGACAAATATCAATGTGTGGTTGCCTCTCGTGCGCCCTGTACTGGGGACCTGGCCTACAACCCATGCATGTGCCCTGACTGGGAATCTAACTGGTGATCCTCTGGTTCGAAGCCTGTGCTCAATCCATTGAGCCACACCAGCCAAGGCAAGACCATGTGCTTTATAAAATCAGATTTCGGACAAGTACTTTTCCTCCTAATTTATTTTGGTTCTTGGCTATTTTACTCACTATATCCATATACCTAGATAGATGACTATCAAACCAAGTATTATCAGAATGGGAAAATATTTTTGGTATACATATTACCATAAATTTCTCACTATTTTTGGTTTGTCAAATGCATACCAATTTGTAAAGTAAACAAGTTAAACATGCAAAAAAATTTCTTCTGAACGTATCTCCATTTTAGTGAAATATATCAAATTTGCTAATATAGAAATAGAAATTGCTTTGATTATAGGGAATTCTCAACTAGACAAAATTCCTTTAAGAAATACGAAGAACAATAATAAAACCTTGAAAAGTATACCAAGAATGGTAGCTCTTCTTCAACTGGAAATTTTTATTACTCTTTAAATGGATATTTATTTACTATTTCTTATATGTAAATCAAAGTTTCTTTAGTACTGCCATTTTATAATACCACTCTATAATCATATTTAACTGTCACATCTCCATCATTTATTTGGATAGAAAGACACTAACTGAGCTTGTGAAGAAATCAACTACAACCATGCAATTTTTCTCATACTAAAAACCTCCCAAATAATTAATACTTAATCTATAATATTAGGGCATCAAGGGACTCCCCTGACTCACAAAAATTAAGATTTTTTTCAGCCTATGACTGGTTCCAAGTGAGAATGAGGTCAAAGAATACATGTTAGTCAACTTAACAGAAAGAAATAAAATATTCTATTATTAAATACAATGTTATATACAATCACCCAAGAAAGTCAATCATAAAGTATTAGCTTCCATCTTATAATATATGAAAAACTTAACATGAAGGCATGGGCTTCAGAATAGAAATTCATTCCATACATATATTCAACAGTTCTCTTTATGTATTTATAAAAAAGTGCTAAACCAAACCTTCTATATAAATTGTTGATCTGTCTTGGGACAGTGGCACTGTGTCCTGGGTCAGGTCAAACAGTAAATCTGAAGAATCATCCGATTCAACCTGTGATGAGTTCTTTGTAAAATCCTGTAAAAAGTTATAGGTAATTATTACTCTGTCAAAATTAGCATCTACTAGGTAAGGAGTATATGGGAACTCTCTGGATTATTATTATAATTTTTCTGGAAATATAAAATTAGTTAGAAATAAAAGTTAAAATTAAAACAATGATATTATTGGCAAACTAGTAGTTGTATTTTGGTAAAACTTTTCTGCAAGAAATTTTGGCAGTATCTAACAAGGGATTTTAAAAGTTCCTATCTTTTGATCCAATTGTTTCAAATATTCTGCTTCTAAGAATTCATGCTAAGGAAATGAAAATATTTAATGAAGAATTATTTGTTATAGCAAAAAAATGAAAATCTGTATGTCCAACAATGGAGAAATGGTTAAATTAAATCAGAGACAATCATGCAACATCATGTTTTTGAGAAATATCCAGTGACAAAGAAATGTTTCCAATATAAATTTCACTGAAAAAAAAGAATAGTAATCTGCACATAAAATACAATCCTGATTAATGATATATTCTATATACTACGCTAACCATTTGGAGAAACAAAATCAAAATACAGTCTGCATCCTCTTCTGTTTCTTCTCTACCTCCCAAACATACTGCCTTCATAATGGGAATATAAGAATCTTGCTTGAGCGTTTTGTGCTTCACAGATGAGAGACAATCAAGTTTTAATAATCTTACTTTGCTCCTAAGTTTTCTGTTGACTGACCCAAGCCATTCCATTCCTAGAATTGAGGTACTGCAGGCAGATTTCTGCATTTGAGACTTAATATGTATTATATAAAATCAATGTCTTTATGACTTAATTGTAACCAACCACAATGTTACTGCAAGGTAGATATTTTTCCAAATGTCCAATATAGTTCTTCAACAGAAGTTCCTCCAAATAAATGTTAATACTTTAAACCCTTTTCTAGGTGATAACTCCTGTAAATTAAGTACCATCATTTCAGGGAGCAAATAACATGCTAAAATAATTCTCCAAGTGGAAATTTTTTGAATCTTATAAAATAGTTCAGAAAGATACAAAATACAATAGTAAGGTACCTAATACTATAAATAGGTAACTTAAATACGGTTAAGTAAGGTTCCCAACACATCCCAGCTTGTTATTGATGATAAAGTTGGAATTAGAACCTAGGTTGACCTGATTACAAAGCCTGTGCCCTTAAGCTTTATCACACTGACTTTAAAAAGTATAATAGTAATTATCTCCCTGATTGCTCAAAAGAGTTGTTGAGGTAAAGAGAATGAAAAAGTTTAAAAATTTCAGAGAATATCATAAGAATCTCAATTCATTTGAGAATATATATGGGTTCTATTCAACCCTGGCTGTACATTAAAGTCACCTGGAGAGTTTTTTTAAAAATCTATCATGCCCAGGCATCACCTTACCCCACAGGAACTGACAAAAACCTCTATTTTTAAAAAGCTCTATTTTCTAAAAGCAGAACTGGGAACCTGATTGGGGAGCTTTGATTAAACAACCATGCTCACAGAAACAAAAATTCTGAGTTTGAATAAGCTCTAGTTTCTAACTTTTCTAACATGAAATATTCTACCCTCTACTCTCTGCTAATCTTTCTCCCTGGGTCCAATGTAGGGATTATTTTCATTTGTCTGCATTTAAATCATGATGTATCCTTTTTGTTCCCCCCCCCCCCAGTGCCAAACAGCTTAGGGCAGTGTGAAAACACCACTAGGTTAATCTGATTCCAACTAAAATAAAATAATTTACATTTCTGGTAGCCTGCCATCTTCAGATACACCTATTAAGTTTTTCTTTTGTTTTAATTAATTTATTTTTAGAAAGAGTGGAAGATACGGATATAGAGAGGGAGAGAAACATCGATGTGTGAGAGAAACATCGATTGGCTGCCTCTCACAGGCCTCCAACCAGGGAGCAGGCCTGCAACCCAGGCATGTGCCCTGACCAGGAATTGAACAGGTGACCTTTTGGTTAGCAGTCCAGCACTCAATACTGAGCCATACCAGCTAGGGCTTAGTTTTTTTTTTTAAGTATTAAAAACAGTCCATGGATGCTTAGAGGCTCTAAATTTGAGAGCCAGTAGTCTGATTAAATGTTCTGATTTCAGAAAGGGAGGCCCAGGGGGATTGTGACAATATTTTAGTTAGGATCAAAGGCTGAATCAGTACTCCTGTCTCCTCTCATTTTCAATCCTGGTTTCTTGAACTACTACTCCAGAGCTCATATTATTACTGGTAAGTGTTTCAGAATGCAGATACAAGTTTACCAAATTTCTATTTTTTGCTTCAAAGTTCAAATTTTATCATGGGCATGAACACTATTAGTGCTTTTCTGTGATGGGCACACTTTGCACATTTTTGAGGACTGAAAAATTGTGTGTTTCAGACAGTCTCTAAGTAGCCCCCAAGGCTCCCTCCTGATATTTACACCCTTATATAATCTTCCCTAGAGTATGTGTGGGACCTGTGACTGTTTCTAACCTACAGAATATGGCAAAAGTGATGACATGTGTATGATTGTTACAAAGCCCATCTTGCTGAGGACTCTTTTCCTTGCTGGTTTTGAGGAAGCAACTAGTCATGCCAGGAAAGCCTACATAGAAAGGAACTGAGGGCAGTTTGTGGCTGACATGAACAAGACACTGACACTTTTAGTCTGACAGCCCACAAAGAACTGGATACTACCAACAACCAAGTGAGCTTGGAAGCAGTCTAAGCAGTCTTAAATGTTACTGCAACTCTAGCAAACATCTTGATTGCAGCCTCATGAGACCTTGAGGCAGAGAAGCCAGTTAAGCCATATCCTAATCCAGACTCACAGAAACCATGAGATAATAAGTATATTGCTTTAAGCTTTGAAGTTTGTGGTATTATTGTTATTCAGCAGTAAATAATTAATATATGGTGCTTTGTCCATCATTCTTTCAAATTAAAATGACATTCCATTAAAAAAGACAGTGAGGTCAATTTGCAATTGAATCACACAAGTGATTAAGAAAACCCTATACTGCATATACAGAAATGCTTTATGCACCTTACCCATTTCATTACACAGAATATTTAAAAAGAAGTATATTCAAAGCTCAAGTTAATAAAATCAGTAAAAAATATTATTTCTTCAAGGATATTCTTAAATGAAATAGTTCTCTTTTAAAAAGATTCTATCCATTCATTTTTAGAGAGAGGGAGAGAGAGAAGGAGAGAATATCAACATGTGGTTACCCCTCATGTGCCCCCAACCAGGGACCTGGCTGGCAACCCAGGCATGTGTCCTGACTGGGAGTTGAACTGGAGACCCTTTGGTTCACAGGCCGGCACTCAATCCACTGAGCCACACCAGCCAGGGGATGAAATATATTCTTAAATAAAATTTTTCTACTGTGGGTGCTCAGCGGTCACCAATACAAAAAACTACTAGTATAGTTTGGGTCCTTTGCCTTGATTCATATTAAGGTACAAGAAGTTTTACCCTTCATTGCTTTTGTATCAGTAGTGCAAATGTTGACAAGTGAAAAAGGAAAATATCTTACTATGACGAGTTTTAACTTCACAGAACCCTGAAAGAGTCTCAGGGAACCCCAATAGTCTGTGGTCCACACTGTTGCCCTAAGGCACAGGTGGCAAACACAAGGCCCGTGGGCTGAATCCAGCCCGGTACCTTGTTTCTACCCAGTGGCTGCACCGAGCTCTCACTTAACTGTTAAGGAGTAGTTACATTTATACAGTCCTAAAATTACATTTGGCCCTTTGAAAGCAATCTCAAGACTGATGTGGCCCCCAGTGAAAATGAGTTTGACACCCCTGCCCTAAGGCAATGCTTCTTTTAAAAAAATATATACCAAAAGGGATAGATGTGTGTATGTGCATATTTTAAAAACTCTCAGTTCACCCTGCCTGTTGTAGCTCAGTGGATTGAGTGCCAGACTGTGCACCAAAGAGTTGCTGGTTCGATTCCCAGTCAGGGCACATACCTGGGTTGCAGGCCAGGTCCCCAGTTGGGGGAATATTAGAGGCAACCACACATTGATGTTTCTCTCCCTGTCTTTCTCCTTCTCTTCCCCTCTCTCTAAAAACAAACAAACAAACAAACAAATAAATAAATAAAATAACAAACCCTTAGTTAACCTGGATTGAAATTGCAAATCCATCATTTGCCAGCTGTGTGGCCTTGAATGGATTATATAGCCTTTCTGAGTCTCAGTTTCCTCAGCTATAAAGTAGGGATGATTACTGTGCCTACATCATAAAAAAGTGGTAAGAATTAAATGAGATTAACTTATTTGTAGCATTTAGAACAAAGCTCCATATTAGCAGAATAATAAATAATATTAAATATTACCATTATCACTTCTGTTAAACATATTGAAAATTAAACTTCTGAAAACTATGTTTCAGAGTAAAGAGCAACAATGACTTTAGAACAGTCTTTCAATTAAGAATAGCTGGTTCAATTTACTATCTTAAGAATTTTGCCATTATGCGATAGTCACTACTGATTATACTATTTAGATAGCATAGTTTTCAATATTATACCTATTTAAATTAAGCTAAATATAATTACCTGATTTATTAACAGGTCGGATAGTTAGTTAATACAGTCATTACTTTGAATATTGAGTTATCATAAAGATGGTGATATTTTCTTATAGTGATTATGGTTCTACAGAAACGGTGACTAGCTCTGATAGACCACAGTTCTAACCAGGTATTATAATATTCAACGTGTCCCTGAGGTAATTGAGGTTTCAGAAACACTTACCGATTTAGACACATTCTGAATAACAGAGCTAGGTGAAGATTTAGATTCAGGATTAAATCTAGGTAAGGCAGCCACTGGATTTGATGATGGGTCTCCATAATGTTGACTTGTAGGCTTGAATGCATCAGTAACACCTGTATTTTAAAATTATACAACAAATTAAATATTTTTCTATACAACCAATTTTGTCAAAATATTATACTTTAAAGTTAATATAGTACAATAATACTATACCTTGATTGAGTAGTTCATTCTTTATTCCCTTTGAAGATGAGCTGGAGTTACCTCTGTTCAAAATATCTATAAAAATTACATTTATTTTAAATGAACAAACACAACCGAAATGCACTAATAGACACAGATTGCCGACCTGTGGTTGCCAGAAGGGATTGGGGTTGGGGGACTGGGTGAAAGAGGTGAAGGGATTGAGAAGTACAGATGAGCAATTACAAGAGTCATAGGAATGTAAAGTACAGCATAGGGAATGTAGTGATAATATTGTAATAACTATGTATGGTGCCAAGTGGTTACTGGAAATATCAAGGGGGACACTTCGTAAAGTACAATTGTCTAACCACTATGGTATACAGCTGAAACCAATACAAAATGATACTGAATGTAAACTGTAGTTGAAAAATAAAAAAAAATTTTAAATTTATTTGGATGTGTAATGTATAAAAGATAATAGAGCGAGTTTGTATGTAGACCTGTGTTCCTGTGACTCAAGCCCTTCCCTAATCCCCATGCCATATTCATACCTCTAAAAGCCTAGAAGATTCATTATGCGTAAGCAGATTGGATTATCTGTACCATTACTCATAAGTTCTAAAAGGAACACTGTCAGAGACTACAGACTAAATTGAACCCAGAGTATACGAGAGTATCTCAAATCTATGACTACACCAATAGTAAATCTGAGACTGACGTGACCCTCTAGATCAGTTTAACACTGCTCACTCTTGTACCCATGTGAACCCATAACTTCTAGGTTATTGAGGAGTCAAATGAAAATTTGCCAGAGTAGAGATTTGCCTAAAATTGCTAATCAGTAAAAGGTACACAGCATTAACAAAATCCCCAAAACTAAAAAGTTTTTACACAGCAAAGGGAACTATCAACAAAATGAAAAGACAACGTACTAAATGGGAGAAGATATTTGCCAATGAGACATCTGGTAAGAGGTTACTATCTAATATTCATAAGGAACTCATGTAACTCAGCACCAAGAAAACAATCCAATTAAAAAATGGGCAAATGACCTAAACAAACACTTATCCAATAAGGACATACAGATGGCCAATAGATACATGAAAAGATGCTCACTGTCACTAATCATCAAAGAAATGCAGATTAAAACTATAATGAGATATCACCTCACACCCGTGAGAACGATTACTATGAATAAATCAACAAATAACTAGTGTTGGTGAGGATGTGAACAAAAGGGAACCCTTGTGCACTGTTGGTGGGAATGCATATTGGTGCAAGTGCTATGGAACAGTGTGGAGGTTCCTCCAAAAATTAAAAATGAAACTGCCTCATGACCTAGTGATTCTATTTCTAGGTATATATCTGAAGAAACCCAAAACACTCATTAAAAAATATGTACACTCTTATGTTTGTTGCTACATTATTTACAATAGTCAAGATATGGAAGCAACCCAAGTGCCTATCAACAGACCAACAGATAAAAAGTGGTGGTGCAGCCCTGGCTGGTGTGGCTCAGTGGACTGAGTGCTGGCCTGTGAACCAAAGGGTCACTGGTTTGATTCCCCATCAGGGCACATGCCTGAGTTGCCAGCCAGGTCCCCAGTATGGGGTACACAAGAGGGAACCACACATTGATGTTTCTCTACCTCCCTTTCTCCCTCCCCTCCCCTCTCTCTAAAAATAAATAAATAAATAAATAAAATCTTTAAAAAAAGGGGAGGTACCTAATATAGAATGGAATGTTACTCAGCCATAAAAAAAGAATGAAATCTTGTAATTTGTGACAGCATGGATGGACCCAGAGGGCATTATGCTCAGTGAAATAAGTAAGTCAGAGAAAGACAAATATCATATAATTTTACTTATATGTGGAATCTAACGAACAAAATAAACAAGCGTATTTGAAACATACTCCTAGACATAGAGAGCAGACTGGTGATTGTCAGCTGGGAGGGGGTTTGGAGGACTGGGAGAAAGATGAAGGGATTGAGAAGTACAGACTGGTAGTTACAAAATAGTCATGAGGATGTAAAGTTCAACACAGGGAATAGAGTCAATAATATTGTAATAACTATGTATGGTGCCAGGTGGGTACTGGAAATACTGGGGGACCACTTTGTAAAGTATTCAATCTATGATTGTCTAACCACAACGCTGTTCACCTGAAACTAATACAAAATAATATTGAATGTAAAATATATATATATATAATATACATATTAAATTAAAAAATCCCACAGAATGCAGACTGGTGTAGTCACTGTGGAAAGCAGTATGGAAATACCTAAAAAAACTAGAAATGGATTTACATTTTGACTCAGTAACCCCACTTCTGGAAGTATATCCAAAGGAACTCAAAACACAAATTCAAAAGAATGTAAGCACCCTTATGTTCACTGCAGTGTTATTTACAATTGCCAAGAAATGGAAGCAGCCCAAGTGTCCATCAATAGATGAATGGATAAAACAACTATGGGACATTTATACGATGGAATTCTACTCAGCCATACAAAAGAAGAAATTTTTACCCTTTACAACAGTATGGATGAACCTGGAGAACATTATGCTAGGGGAAATAAGCCAGTCAGAGAAAGAGAAATATCATATGATTTCATTCATATGTGGAATCTAATGAACAAACTGCACTAACAAGGAAAACAGAGACAGACTCATAGATGGAGAGCAGGATGACATCTAGTGGCAGGGGGAGGTTAGGGCGTGGATGGATGAGAACGAAAAAGGATTCATGGACATGGACAACAGTGTAGTGATTGCTGGGGGGTATGTAAGAGGAATAAATGGTAATGGAAAATATGTAATAAAGATTAAATTAAAAAATCTCATTAAGACCTCAATAAATTTCCTTTCTTTCCTCCTAGTAAAAAGAACCAGATCTTCATAAAATAATTTATAAAGTAAAGGGCCACATGGGGTTGTTTTATGATGATGGAAATGCAGTGCTCTATGACTAAGCACTACTAAAGTCACCTAGGAGAAAAATCTGCAAAAACAACTTGATATTGTTTGCTTTCAGAAATTCAAGGTATTTGAAGAGCTATTAAAGAGTTATTCCTATAGTACTTTTTGGTGGCAGCAGTCTGTCAAACAAAAGTTTTTAACCCCTCCCCCATGGTGGATTGATATAAATATTTAGCTCATGATCCATATGCTAAAAATATTTTATGGCTGACACATAAAACATCAATAAAAATCATTTAAATTCTGAGTTAAATTAGAAAAGAAATTTCACTGGGATCAACTTTTTGATAGAACCACTTACAACTAATACACTTTATTCTAGTTAAGTGCTGTTAACAGTCATTTATAGTTGATATAAATCTAATTCGAACTATCATGTTTTCAGTAAGATAATTTGAGTAATAATTTTGAAATATGATAATATTTCCATATAAAAATAATCATAGTGACTAGGAAACAATAATTAAGAGAATATAATATTCTGTTCCACTATCAACAACAAACATGCTAACATGCCTAGTTCATTTTATAATTGAATTGGCACTAAACTTAGCACCTCTCAAATTTGGCACAAGAAATGATTATGAGAATTAAATTAAAATAAATTATTCTACCTCTGATGAAAATGGAGAGAAGTGCTATTTTTAGTTTAGAGTCAAGAGAAGCAAGAACTAGGCTTTCATAAAATTAAAAACTTGTCTGTCAAGCACACTATTATGCACTGCCATGGTAAGTAAGAAAACATGTTTCCTCTTTCTCCCCTGATGTTCAGTATGTTGTTTTTCTGTACTTTACACATTTTATTGGACATTTAAGGTAGCATCATCAATATTTTCACTTTAACATTATTACAATGTTAAATCTACTTACTGTAATTGAAATCTAATAATCTACAAAGATACTGGTCATGTTCCCCTAGAAAGCCATGAGGATTAAATGTGCTGACTGCCTGCATTACTGAAGTACATGGACTGATGACTAGGTTCTCCTCCTTTATAAATATAATCAGGAGTTGCTGCAAGATGACAGTGGTCAGAAGCTATAGCCCATGTTGGTACACAGACCAGATATCATACAATCACGTAGTGCCTGTTCATTTTGTAGTCTTGAATCAAAATGACACTGCGATGTGAGAACCCCCTCAGAGACTAACACAAACTCATTTAGTATTCTAGTATTTTAAGCAAAGTATTCCAAACACTTCCTTGTCTAGGTGCATTTGGACGTTAGGGAGAAAAATAAAAATTAACACGTAAACAGGTATAAATAGGCCACTTGGTTCCACTAAAAATTATGATTTCCAATCTCAGAAGGCCTACAACATTGTTAAGTACAAGTCCCAACCACATTCTCCCTCTGATTCTCACAAATTCTTATTGATCTCTACACTCCTTCTCATGAGTAACAAGGACATGTAAGATAGCATACAGGTTTTTCCATGGGAAACATCTTATGAAATTTCATCAAAAGTAAATGATTACTTGTAGGGGACTGACCATGGGCAAAAGGGGAGGGCTGGGTGGAGGCAGGCAAAAGGGGAAAAATTGGGATGACTGTAATAGAAACAACAATAAAAATAAAGTAGAAAAAAAGAAAGTAAATGCTTACTTGAAATGGCTGGTTTTGAACTTGATATTTCTCCAACAAAGATTAGCTCATCATCATCCTCATCCTGATTTTCTTCTATTTTCTTCTGCCATGGTTCCAGTTCTTCTTCTTCACATTCCATAAAGAGTTCTGCCATTTTTGAATTATCTAATTTTCAAAAGGAGAAAAGCAAATCTTATTTTAAATACATTTTTTACAATATATACTATGATATTTAACATGTAGTTTAATAATGCTAATAGCAATTACTGAATTGATATTTGTCAGTAAATGGTAGCAAAATTAAGAAACTTCAAATTCAACCTCTAATATCTAAACTAACAAAAGTAAGCTAGACAGCTACATAATGGATGACAATAGTTATCTGCAGTGGCCAATAAGTTTTAGGAATAATCAAATCCAATCAAACTGAGTTTTAGTTTTATGACTAGAATATAATTATATCTATGAAAGGGACTGTACCTATTATCTTAAAAAAAAACTCCACAGACTTTGGCATTAACAAAAGGGAGATAAACTAGGAATAAGAAGCAACAGGTGGGAGATATAATAGAAAAACTGAACAAGACTGAGATGTACCAGGCACAGAGCAAAGAAGGAATGAGGTGCTAGAATGAAAATAGAAATACTAAGTAAGGCTTACTCCTTCTCAAGACAGATGGAGACATTTCTCACATGAAGAAACTAAGCAAAGAACATATTGTGAAAACTACCAAGCTACAAGTGTTGACCAAGCACACAGAGCTCCTTGTGATCATTTTGGTGCCTCATTCTTTTTTAAAAACTTAATTTTTTATTTTAATTTTTAATTTTATTATATTTCCCCCATTACTATTTATCTCCCCATACTCTCTTCCACCTTCACTCACCCCTCTCCTCCTGCAGGCACCACACTGTTGTCCATGCCTGTAAGTTCTTTTTCCTTTTTGCTCAATCCCTCTACCCCTCAAACTTCCCCCTCCAGAGCTTGGTGCCTTATTGTAAATATGGATGCACAACTACTGAGAATCAGAAATATGACTAAAACCTCCAATGTGAAATACAAAAGCAATAAAACAGAAAGAAAGACTGTTAAAAAGACACAGATAATATACACGGCAGGAGAAAATATCAGAGACGATATAATTAGTGATTTTAGAGAGGTAAGACAAGAATGTTATAAAATACAACATTCAGAAAACAAAAAAGTTTATATTAATCTGGCCAAAATTCAGTAAAATATCAAATGCCAAAGTTGAATAAATGTCCCAAAAGTAGAACAAAAATATACATGTAGGAGTGAACAAAATTAGATTTACAGTTGTAAGTATAATACAGTAATTAATATATAATAATACAAGAGTAAACTCTGTCCTTGGCCGGGTTGCTCAGTTGGTTGGGGCGTCATCCTGTACATCAAAAGGTTGAGGATTTGATTCCCTGTCAGGGCACATACCTAGGTTTCAGGTTTGATCACTAGTTGGGGCACATACCGGAGGCAGCCGACTGATGTTTCTTTCTCACATCGATGTCTCTCTCTCTTCTTTCCTCTCTCTTTAAAATCCTCGGATGAGGATAAAAAAAGAAAAAAAGAATAAACTCTGTTTTGCATACTGACAACTGTAAACCTATTTTTGCCAAGTATATATGGAGAGAGGGAAAGAGGGAGGGAGGGAGGGAGGGAGAGGGAGAGAGGGAGAGAGAGGGAGAGAGAGAGAATACAAGATTGTTAAAAAATCAATTTCAAAGTTACAAGTCACCTAATAAAAGTTCCAGAAAAAGAACAAAGAAAAAAAGGGGATGTAATCAAAGTAAAAAAATACAAGAAAAAATCCCAGTTGTAAAGGATATAAATCTCCAGATAGAAAGGGCTCACCAGCACCTAGCACAATAATTAAGAAAAGAAAACACCTACAGTAGAGAGACATATTATGAAATTTCAGAATGCTGGAGATAAGGGAATAGTATTACATCTGAGAGTGAGAGTGGAGACAGAGAAGAAAGTTAAAATACTGCTTTCAAAAGTCTTACTAAAATAAATTTCAATTTAAAAATCTATACCCAGCCAAGATTTTTGTTAGACATAAGGTACATATTCTTTTATCAACAATGAAGACTGGAAACATCAGACAGAATTTACCTTCCATTCACCCTTTCTTAGATGGAATCCACCAATATGAGACTTAAGGAAGAAGACTTAGGATGCAGAAAACATGCCATTTAATGTAATAGAAAGAAAAAGGAAAGTCCCAGGACAATAGCCATTCAACAGGTCTAGAAAGCAACCAGACAATGTACAGCAGGAGAACATTACTCTCAGGAGGAATGTCTCCAGGAGAACACACACATACACATTATATACTAAATTGTTAAATTGCCTTACAAGTTTTACCGTGTAAAAAATTGAGTTAAGAGGCTACAGAAGGGTGTGAAATGCCTTTGCGATAGACCTTAACTAAATTTAGCAAATTTTAAAAAATGAAAAATTTAAATTATTGGATATATTTTTAAAGAGAGAAAAATGTAAATGTACCCATAACATATTAATACCATAGTACTATGCTCATCAGGGAACAATGTTTATTATGGTCATCATAATGGAAACATCAAATATAATTTAACCAAAAATTCAGATATAACTACATTAGGTGATGCTTGGAGGGAGAGGTAAGTGTAAGAAATCTAAAATCTTCATAGTGTTCTACAGGAAAATCATTAGATAATGGCAAAAACTTACAATTCAAGAGGTTGTGTTATATATGTGTGTATTAAATTTTTATAAATATGGAAATGATTATTAGAAAAACAGCTAAACTAGTAATAGTGGATGCCTTGAAAAAAACATAGGAATATATAGGCCCAAAACAAAGCCATGTTCATGTGAACAATCCTCTCTCTTGCTCTTTCACATCTTCTAAGAAATGGTAGTTATAACTTTCAGATTACATATTTGTCTTTTTAAAATGAGGCATGTATTGTTCTGGTTAAAAAAGTATTGAGGAAGCAACTAAAATTAAAATAATAGCAATAGGAACAGATAAAAATGGTGCTCAATACATGGAATGAGATGTGGACAGGGAACAACTGAACAATAAAAATAAAAACAAAGCAATAATTCCAGGGTTTAGGCTTAGACAAAAAGATCTCATTTTTCAGACAATTATCTTTAATTCATCTTTTACATGCAGTAGTTTATAAAGGTAATTTTGCTGGATCAAAACAATGTCATTTCTACTTTTAACTCAAAATTAAAAGGTACTAGGTAAATAAAATAATTTGGGGATTGCATACAAAAGAAACACCTTAATAAATGCATGCTACTTAAAAAAACTGTAAGTTCCAGCCAAGATGGAGGCATAGGTAGAAACCCTTCACTTCCTCACACAAACAAAAGGAGGATGACAACCAATCTAAAATCAATAAACAACCAGAAGTGCCAGAAAATCACACTGCATGGGACTCCAACAACCAAGGAATTGAAGAAACAATCAAACAGACCAATCAGACCAGTAAAGTGGAAGACAGATAGAAATCATGGCGAGATGACGGACTGTGTGGGCAGGGTTGACTGAACAGGAAACTGAGACTCAGAGCTGACTGTGGACTACGGTAGGGGTTGCTATGGTGGCAGAAACTCCCAGTCTCACAGGAGAGAGTTCATTGGAAAGAGGGGGCTACAGCCGAGCAAGTGAGCTGCATTGTTCCCTCTCTGGTCCCTCCCCCACAGGCAGTGCCACAGCCAGCAAGGAGGGTCACCCTACCCTGGGGAATACCTAAGGTCCCACCCCCTTACAATTTTACAGGTGGTCTGAGACAAAGAAATATGGCCCAAATGAACGAACACAGCAAACCTTCAGAAAGAGATCTAAGTAATGAAGAGATAGCCAACCTATCTGATGGAGAATTTAAAGCCCTGGTAATCAAAATGTTCACAGAACTGATTGGACTTGGTCACAAGATGAAAGAACAAATGAAAGATACTCAAAATGAGATAAAGCAAAACATTCGGGGAACCAAAAGTGACAGGAAGGAAACGAGGACTCAAATCAATGATTTGGAACAAAAGGAAGAAATAAACATCCAACTGGAACACAAGAAACAAGAAGAAATTTGAAGAAACGAGAATTCAAAAAATTAAAGAGAGGCTTAGGAACCTCTGGGACAACTTTAAACCTTCCAACATCTGAATTATAGGGGTGCCAGAAGGAGAACAAGAGGAAGAAATTAAAAACTTATTTGAACAAATAATGAAGGAAAACTTGCCCAACTGGGCAAAACAAACAGACTTCCAGGAAGTCCGGGAAGCCCAGAGAGTTCCAAAGAAGTTGGACCTAAAGAGGAACACACCAAGGCACATCATCATTAAGTTACCCAAGATTAAAGATAAGGAGAGAATCTTGAAAGCTGCATGAGGAAAAGAGAGAGTTACCTACAAAGGAGTTCCCACAAGACTATCAGCTCATTTCTCAAAAGAAAACTTACAGGCAAGAAGGGGCTGGAAAGAAGTATTCAAAGTCATGAAGGGTAAGGACCCGCATCCAAGATGACTCTATCCAGCAAAGCTATCATTTAGAATGGAAGGGCAGACAAAGTGCTTCCCAGATAAGGTCAAGTTAAAGGAGTTCATCATCACCAAGCCCTTATTATATGAAATGTTAAAGGGACTTATCTAAGAAAAATAAGATAAAAAATATGAACAGTAATATGACAACAAACTCACAACTATTAACAAATGAACCTAAAAAAAAAGAAAAAAGAAAAAACAAAAACTAAGCAAACAAACAGAACAGGAACAGAATCAGAGAAATGGACATCACACAGAGGGTTTTCAGTGGGGAAGGGGAGGGGAAGAATGGGGGAAAAGGTACAGGGAATAAGAAGCATAATTGGTAGGCATAAAATCGATAGGGAGAGGTTAAGAATGGTATAGAAAACAGAGAAGTCAAATAAGTTATATGTACAACCCATGGACATGAACTAAGTGGGGAATGCTGGAGGGCTGGGAGGTACAGGGTAGAGGGGGACAAAGGGGGGTAAATTGGGAAAACTGTAATAGCATTATCAATAAAAGATACTTTAAAAATAAATAAAATATAAAATGAGGGGCAAAAACCTTTAATATCATTTTCCCTTCTATATAGGTATGTCAAAATCATTTATTGGCACGTTATTTAATGTTTAGTAGTCCACCTACCATTAAATAATACAAAAAACTTTCTCACCCTCCCCAATGTAACCAACTTTATGAACCATTCCATTTCTTTTCTAAACTATACTTTATATATATAACACATATATATTATACACACACAGAGTGCTCTAAGTAAAATTAAAAAGTAATTCACATCATTTGCATGTTCTGACTACTTAAAAACATCATTCTCATTATGTTGCTTGAAGTACTCATTTGTACTGCTTCTTCCATCTAAAATATCCTTTCTTCTTACTGTAGACTGTCTACATTACTTAAGTATAGTAGAAATAGCATGAACTTGACATTAAATAGAATAGTTCAAATCTTCACTATACTACTTCTAATCATGAGACTCTGGTGAAATTGCTTGGCTGTTTCCTCATTTCTAATATTGGTTTAATATCAACCTAATTGAAGTGATAAGGTAAATTCAAGAAAATTCATGTAAAGTACCTAACTTAATACAGATCTTCAACAAAATATTTATTTACTGCCTCTTCCCAACTCTTAGTTCAATTTTAACTTACTCAATAACCCATTAGACCTTGTTTTTCTTCCATCTCTTACTACATTGGCAGTCTATTCCATGTAATTCAAGATTTACTATATATAATCTCAAATGCTCACTATTAATGTGTTTGAATTGTATATGTCTAACTCCAAGGTAAGCTCCTTGAGAGTGAAGAGTATATTTTTTCTTCCTTTGTATTTTCTCTTAGACACAGCAGTCTACTGGACATGCAGTAGGCGCTTAATGTATGATAATTTATGAGCTAAGAAACTAGGCAAAGTCAGGCAATACTATCTTTTAAAAATGAGGGAGACCCATATATACTGATAATAAAAAATTATTTACATCTGTGTTCACAGGTCTTCCTTATTTTTTTTTTACTAGGTGCTGCTACTGTCAATATATTTCAAGGTAGATTGTTGAGTAAAAATTATTTAAAGACACATAATAGCATATATAGTATGATTTTATTTAGAAATAATATAGTTTTTGTCAACACATAAAAGTTTGTGATTATGTATAAAAAGCATTATCTCTGGAGATGAAGAAATACTTCATTTCTAGTTTACTAACATTTTTATTGTATATTTTTTTCACTATGAGCATATATTAGTTTAATAAGTGTGTTATTTACTTATTTTAGCATAGACATTTTTATTGTATTTTTCCACTACCATTTATCCCCCTTATACCTTTCCCCCAGCAATCACCACACTGTTGTCCATGTCCATGAGTCTTTTTTCACTTTTGATCAATCCCTCCACCCTCTAACGCCCCATTGCCATCAACCTGTTCTCTATCTATGAGTCTGTCTCTATTTCGCTTGTTAAATGTGCTCATCTCTACCTTTCTCACCTGTTCTCATGAAGCAAAGTTATAAGTACAAAAGTCACACATACTAGCATCACTTTCAGCAGCAATACTTACTTTTTGGTTGAAAAGGTTTATTGTCATCCATCAAGTTGCAGAGTCACCTAAGCACCAACATACAACATCAATCAATTTTATGAGTCACTTTAATACCAAATATTAAAACATTAAACTTGGGATTCAGAAATCTTTGGGTCTGATTTTGATCTCCAGCAAACTTACCTACCATGAGACTCCAGACAAGGTAGCAAGTTAGGTCTCAGCTTTTGGACCTATAAAATAAACATACCTACTGTTAGAGTGGATTTGTTAAATTAAGTATATACATACATTTACTCCTTTTCTCTTACAAAAAGCTTACCTTTTGAGTTCGATGTTTTTGATATACATATGCTACTCACTTTCTATAACTGGTTTATTCCTCAATGAATGCGAACTTAATCAAATGTTGAATGTACAAAGTATTTATTAATTACTTGAAGAAATCTAATGAATTATTAAATTACAAATAATCTTTGAAAGGCATCCTTTTGTAAAAATGAGGAATTACCCTTTAATATGTTTTATTGAATCTAAATTTTGAAATGCTAAGTAACAATAATCTTTAACTGTTGCCTATTTTTCACATTAGAAATAAATGTTTTGAACATCAATGATTGACTGGGTTCAATTCCCAGTCAGGGTGTGTATGAGAGGGCAGCTGATTGATGTTCTCCCCCCCCCCGCTCCTCTTTTTGTAAAAGAAGTGAAAAATGTCCCTGGATGAGGATTTAATTTTTTTTTTAATTACTCATTGTCTTCTGTGCTCAAGGTAATGTGAAAACTAAGATGAATAAATCATAGCTGTGCTTTCAGAAATTTACAATCTTATGTGTCTATGATTCTTTGGGCTTTTAAAAGGTGGTATATTAGGCTCTGGCTGGTGTAGCTCAGTGGATTGAGCATGGGCCTGTGAACCAAAGGGTCACCAGTTCAATTCTCAATCAGGGCACACGCCTGGGTTGTGGGCCAGGTTCCAGGTAAGGGGTCCATGACAGGCAACCACACATGGATGTTTCTCTCCCTCTCTTTGTCCTTTCCTTCCCCTTTCTCTAAAAATAAATAAAATCTTTAAAAACAAAAAGGTGCTATGTTATTTCCTTAAAACAAGAATATGTGTTCTGAATTCTCATGTACATACTAATTTACACATAAAATAATCATACTTAGAAACTATTTCAGTTATAAAACAAGTAAAATATTAGACATCAGAAATCTAAAGTATTAGGATAAATAGCTAATTGAGTCTTCATATTTATCTTTAATCTTAGACAGCAAAATTAATCTTCCCCAGTTTTTCCAATTCCAAAATTTTCTAGACTGAATTAGACCAAAGGGAAAAAAACTATTTTAACTCTAGAAAAATCTGCTATAAATGCCTGAATTACTATTACAAGAATCTCTAGTGAATTCAATACATAAGCAAATTTCCATAGTTCTGAGGTTTGACTATTTTCTTGAAAGATTTTAGTTATTTATTTTTTAGAGAGAGGGGAAGGGAGAAAGAGAGGGAGAGAAACATCAATGTGTGGTTGCCTCTCACACACCCCCTACTAAGGACCAGGCCTGCAACCCAGGCATGTGCCCTGACTGGGAATTTACCCAACAACCCTTTGGTTCTCAGGCTGGCACTCAATCCACTGAGCTACATTAGCCAGGGCTGAGGTTTGACTATTTAAATCTCTAACTCAGTTATTTGATAGTTATCACTTGTCTTGCAACTAGAATTAAGGTAATACATATATATATGTTGAGTAGATAAATACCTGATAATTCTTTCTCAGCATTAAGGACCTACTACTGATTCCAAGAATACAGAATTTCATTTTTTTTAAATCCTCACTTGAAGACATGTCTTTATTGCTTTTAGAGAGAGGAAAGGGGAAGAGTTGGAGGGGGGACAGAGAGAGAGAGAGAGGAACATTGTTTGGTTGCCTCCTCCATAAGCACCTTGACCAGGGATTGAAACTGAAACCTAGGAATGTACCCTGACCAGGAATTGAACCTGCAACCATTTGGGGTACAGGACAATGCTCCAACTGATTGAGTCACCTGGCCAGAGCCAGAATATTTTTTGTTTAAGTCAGAACTGTACAGCCCATGAGACTCATAAAAAACACTTTTATTAAATGGTCATACAAAATATCTATTGATAGATATTACCACAAATACCTTAAAATTGGTACTAATGTAAAAACAGTATACATAAACATATCCGGTCTACTGCCTATGACTAACTACGGAGATGGCTTTTGGGGCCCATAGCAGCCATGAAGGAGCCTCAATTAATACATTTGCAAACATTCTAAAAAGTCAGAAATCCTCAGATGACATTTAGAATCACAACATCAGTCTAAAGCTGTGCTATCCAATAAGGTAGCTGAGCCCTCCAAAAATATCACCACAAAATACTCAAGTCATTACTTCAGAGTTTTGGTGGCAAGGTAAGGAATTCCGTGGGAGATTAATCTGTTAGAGAAATAAAATATTCAGCAAAATGTGCAGTTAGAAACTTGGTGCTCCTATAATAGCAACTCCAAAGGGTCTCTAGGTTATACAACTCAGAGTTGGCATCAAACTGTAGGAGTAAAGAACTCTCCATTCCAGCTGCTGACTCAGATGCAGATACTATACCCATGTTTAATATGCTGTTCCAATGGGAGAATAATGAATCCCAAGTAACTGACAAACACCTCTTGGAACACACTATTCAGTTTTTGGAGACTGCCTGTATTAATAATTATAATTACTATTTAGATAGTTTCTGTTTTTGGGTTTATATTTTTAAAATTCAACACTTTTAAGAATTGCATAAAGAATTGCATAAAAATTTAAAAACATTAATGTATTAAAATAGTTTAAATGGTTAATTGTATTTTATGTGTATTTTACCACAGGAAAATATATTTAAAAATTAACGGATGCCATTTCACATCCACTAGGATGGCTATAATAAAAAAAGACAGAAAATCACAAGTGCTGGCAAGGATATGGAGAAAAGGGACTCCTTTTATACTGCTGCTGGAAATATGAAATTGTGCAGACACTATGTAAAACACTTTGGTAGTTCCTCACAAAGTTAAACATAATGTTATCGTATGACTCAGCAATTCCACTCTTGGTGAGAAATGAAAACATATGTCCACACAAAAACTTGTACACAAATGTTCATAGCAGCATTATTCATAATACCCCATAATGGAAACAATCCAAATGCCTGATTGATGAATGGATAGCCAAATGTGAAATACCTATAGAATTAAAAATATTCATTCATAAAAATGAATGAAGTACTGATACATACTATGATACGGGTAGATCTTGAGAACATTATACTAAGTGAAAGAAGCCAGTCAAGAAAAAACGATGTATTATATTATTTCATGAAATACCCAAGAATAGCCAATTCATAAAGACAGAAAGTAGAATAGAGGTTGCTTAGGATTGGGAGGGTTGGGGGAAAATGGGGAGTGACTATGAATGGGCATGAGATTTCTTTTTGGGGTACTGAAAATATTCTAAAATTGATTATCGGTAATTTTTTCACTATGTTGTGAATACACTACAACAAATGAACTGTATACTTCAAATGAGTGAACTTTATGTTACATGAATTATCTCAATAAAGCTGTTAAAATAATAAGCTGGTAGGATATAAGGCTGGGAGTTGTGGAGTCACGATGTGGAGAAAGACTACCTAAGAAAGAAGCTAACAAAGAGAAGAGCAAAACCATAGATTCTGGGTTAGAGAAAAAGAGGGGAGGTAAGGAAGACATTCAAGTTTGATGTTATCATTTAAACACCTGAAGCTAGCTATGCTTGAAGCAAATTAATTACTAAATTTTAAAAGGGAATTTAAATTTAAAAAATTTTTAAATTACTAAATTTTCAATTAAGAGAATAATTGTTCACTTCTGGTTTCATCTATTTTGAGCAAGGTTTCTGGTACTTGTATTGAAGAGAATACTCTTACCAATGGACTATGCCAACATTTTTCAAACTAATAGATCTCGAGGAAAAATAGATATGTTCCAGATGGTGCAGGAGGTCTCTAAAACAATACATTGTTTTGTTATCTAAAAAATTAACATTAGCATACTCAGGATAACCTGGATGACCACCTTATAACTAAGCTGTCATAATTTCAATACTCATGGTTTTTAAAGTTGAGATATAATAGATGTATAGCATTATATTAGTTCCAGGTATATAACATAATTCAATATATGCATACTATAAAATAATCACAATGTCTAGTTAACACCCATCACAAAGTTACAAATTTTTTTCTTGTGGTGAGAGCTTTAAGATCTACTCTCTTAGCAACTTTCAAACATTCAATAGTCTTATTAGTTATAGTCACCATTGTGTGTATCACATCCCTGGGACTTATTTATAACTGGAAGTTTGTATCTTTTGGCCAAGTTCACCCAACCACCAATCTGTTTTGTATGTCTATGAGTTTACTTGTTTAAGAAATAAAACAGTATTTGTCTTTCTCTGACTTATCTCACTTAGCATAATGTCCTCAAGGCCCATCCATGTAGCTGCAAATAGCAGGATTCCTTTTTTTAATGGCTGAATATTGTTCCATTGTGTGTGTGTATCACATCACATCTTCTCTATTCATTCATCTGTCCATGATGTTTAGGTTGTTTCCATGCCTTGGATATTGTAAATAATGCTGCAATAAACATGAGGGTGTAGATATCTTTACAAGTTAGTGTTTTTGTTTACTTCAGATAAATTCCCAGAAATGGAATTGCTGGATCTTATCAGTACTCATACTTTGTATTTACTACTGCATTGTCATCAAGTACATTCATTGCTGCTGTCTATTAATAAAAGATCAGAGGGAGAGAATATTTAAATAATGCATGTGCACAAAATGAAGGGTAAATGGCAATATGGTTAGCTATAGAAATGAAAGTATTGAAAAGGTTCAAACAGAAAAATCTTGCAATTGTTTAGATAGATATGAAATATAGGTATGAAAAACTCAAAATACGCAGTGACTGTTTCATCAAAATACATTATTCATTCCATGTATTAAAATTGATTTAAATAGTACTGATTTCATAGTTTTAATTACTTTGTTTTTTGGCACATTTAATTAATTTGTTTTTTAGTAAATTTATTAATATGTGTTTGCACCATTAAAACTTATGATCTTGGTCTTTCCTTTTTGCCTTTGTGTAAGGCCAAAAGAGAGAGTGGTACTTTGATGACCTTA